TCTCCTGATGAAAAATAGCACCTCTTTTTTTTTTTTTTTCCTTGCAAGTGATGCAAAACATTTCACATGGACCCAAACATATCTAGCACCTAAGGGTCAGGAGCTGGGGACTTCACCAGACACATACATCATTAAAGTTCCCCTGAAATGAACATTGCCACTGTTTTGTGCCCATGAATAAAGCATTAAACAAAATTGAGACTGAGACACCTCATTACCCAGGGTCATTAAGTAACTCAGGAAGACTAGAGCTACGTTTGAAGCCAATTAAGAGGCCTCACACTGGGTGTTAGAACCATATGAGGGGCTGGCATATCCCCTAGCACATAGTAGGCACCTCATAAAATGTTTAGAACAAGTCAACAGGATGCCCCTGCCCCAGAGATTAGCCAACTTCACCAGCGTGCTCTTAGATCCCCCTCATCAGGTTACCTAGGACTACAACACTCAGAGCTCAGGACCACTGTGAGTGCACAGAGCAAATGACCTGCGCTAATGACAAATACCAACAATTCAGCTGTTTTCATTTCTTTGTGTGGTAAAATACACAAATATAAAACTTACCACACACTAACCATTTTTTTTTTTAAAGATTTTATTTATTTAACAGAGAGAGACACAGCGAGAGAGGGAACACAAGCGGGGGAGTGGGAGAAGGAGAAGCAGGCTTCCTGCGGAGCAGGGAGCCCGATGTGGGGCTCGATCCCGGGACCCTGGGATCATGACCTGAGCCGAAGGCAGACGCTTAACGACTGAGCCACCCAGGCGCCCTTTACACTAACCATTTTTAAGTGTACAGTTCAGAGGTACTAAATACATGCATAATGTGCCAATATTACCACCATCCATCTCCAGAACGTTTTCCTCTTCCCCAACTGAAACTCTTTGGGGTCCCTTGGGATTCCATATGAATTTTAGGATGGGTTTTTCCATTTCTGCGAAAGACTTTATTAGGATTTTGACAGAGGTCATGTTGAATCTGTAGATCACGTTGGGTAGTACTGACATCTTATGAATATTGTCTTTTAGTCCATGAACATGGGATGTCTTTCTATTTGCTTATATCTTCTTTAATATCTTTCAGCAATGACTTGTAGTTTTCAGTGTACATATTTTTCACCTCCTTGGTTATGTTTATTCCTAAGTATTTTATTTTTTGATGGTATTGTAAATGGAACTGTTTTATTGACTTCCTTTCTGTTACTGTAAAAAATGCATCTGATTTTTGTGTGCTGACTTTGCATCCTACTTTGCTGAATTAATTTTCCAGTTCTAACAATTTTTGTGAAATCTTCAGGATGTCCTACATATAAGATTATATCATCTGTGAAGAGAGGTAAATTTTCTGGACTCCCAGGAATACACTGAATAGAAGTGGTGAAAGCAGGCATCCTTGCCAACAGAAAAGCTTTCAGTCTTTCACCAGTAACTATGATGTTCACTATGGGTTTTTCATACAGGATTTTACTATGTTGAGATAGTTTCCTTGTACTCCTAGTATGCTGAGTGTTTTTAGGACAGCAGTTATTTGTTTTTATTTAACAAACACTTCCTTAGCATCAGCTGCCAGGCACTGTTGAAACTGCTTTATAATTATTAACTCATTTAATCTCCAAAGCAACCATATGAGGTATGAACTACTATTATCTCCATTTTATAGATGAGGAAACTGAGGCATGGACTGAACACATAGGAAGCTGTGGAACCAGGTTTCAAACCAGATCATCCAGCTTAGAGTTCACGTTTGAAACAACCAGGAAGCAGAGCAGAAGCCAGCAGGCTGAGTATCTATTATGCCAAAGACAATTTATCACATTACCTAATCCTTCCCCCATATCGTATGATGTAGATCTTTATAGGCCCATGTTACCACTGAATAAACTGAGTTTACAGACATTTAGGAAACTTCCCCAGGGCCACACTATTAGTGAGAGATGAAGGCTGGGTTTGAATTTAGACTGTTGAGCCATAGAACATCGCCAACCCACCCACAAGGGGTAGCGTCCAGAGCCACACTGTCCATAAGCCACTTGTGACCACTGAGCCCTTGAAACATGGCCAGTGCCACATGTTGACATGACATTTTACATAAATTGAGTTAAATACAATGGGTTATTACAATTAATTTCATGTGTTCCTTTTCACTTTTTTAAATGTGACTACTGGAAAACTTACATATGTGGCTCACATTATATGTGTATGTGTGTATATACATCCAAGAATGTAGGAGGACAGGCAACAGCAAGGACCGGCACAAAGGAGGATCTGCTCCCATGTCTCCCCTGAGCACTCACTCCCTTTTCAATCAATGTCCCTGGTACTAGGTACCTTGGGAGAAGGCTGACAGCTGGTGTCTAACTCCTTGGGGCTACCGTGGACCACACCAATCACCAATAAGAGCTGCTTGCTCCACCAAGGGGAGGATGCACCCTGGGAAGGGGGCTCAGGACAGAGGAGACTGACTGCACATCATTCCTCCACTGATACCAGGCACTCTCAAACCCCAGGAGCAGCCCTTTCCAGACCCCAACAAGCAGTGCAAATGAAAGGCAAGCCCTGAGCACCAGGGGCAGGCAGAGAAGGCAACCCCACCATCAAGAATACAAGTGCCCTGGCAACTCAGCATAGAGAGGGTCTTCCCATTCTGCACCAGGAGAACCCAGACTGTGGGATCCTGGGCTGTGGAGCACACATCTAGTACATCATCACTGATGGCAGAAAGATGACCTGGAGATGTAGGGTGGGAGGAGAGGAGGGTGGTAAGAGGCGGGCAGGAGGAAGAAAGACAGGGAAGAAGGAAATGGGAGAGGAGGAGAAGAGAGGAAAAGGGGAAGGAAGAAGGGGAGAGGAAGGGGGGAACTGGAGAAAGGAGGAGGGGTCACTAGTTACTGAGTGCTCTCTGCCTGCCAGGCCCTTGCAAAGTAATATCATCATCCCCATTTCTCAGATGTGGAGAACAAGGCTCAAGGAGGTGACATAATCAACCCAAGGACACACAACCAGTAGGCTGTAAAGCTGAGTCAGCCGGGTCTATGTGACACCAGACCTATTTCTATTGCTATGGCACATGTTCAGTCACCTGGTCAGTCAAGTGACCAGGTCATGGTCTTCCATCTCCAGGACAATGAGTCTTTCTGCATAGTGTGTGTTCTGTAATTCTGTGATCCAGAACTCCGGGTGTCCTAGATGGCCTGGAGCATGTGCGTGCAGGCAGCAGGACCCGCAACGGCTGACCCCCTACCTCAGTCCTGTCTTCTCCACTCCCAGGGCTCTAAAACGGGCCAGCTGGTTACTCGGATGTACGTGTCCCTTCCATGCAGACACAGTTCTAACAGCCACACCCACCTCTCCGTGTGGCTGCTCGGCAGTGCCCACCACCGCACCTGCTCCTTCCCCCGCTTCCCTGGCTCAGTACATGACAGCATCAGGTTTCCAGGTGCCTCCTCTCCTGCTCTCCCACCCCCAGCCAATCCATCAGCAAATCCTGTTGTCGTCATCCTCAAGATAGACCCAGACCTCAGCATCCTTCCAGTTTCATTCTTGGGTGGCAGAGCACCTCCGGGCAGCCCTCTATGGCCAATTCTCAGCACAGCCACCAGAGGGAGCATGTTAGAATCCAAGCCTGATCAGCGACTCTTCAGGGACTTGCAAGGGCTTCCGCAAGTCAGAAAAAAAGCCGAAGACCTTCCCATGGTGCCAAGCCCGAGCTGACCTCCAGGCCTGACCACTCCTCTCTCCACCCTAGCCACAATGGGCTCCTGCTATTCTGCATACTCACAACATGTCCACCCCCAGGACCTTTGCACCTGCCACCCTCTGCCCAGCAATCTCTCCCCCAGACTCTCCATTCCATCCTCTGTAGAGCCCCCTCTTCAGAGAAGCCCCACCCTCCCCCATCAGCACCGATCCCTCTACTCTGCTTCACCTTCCTAGCACCGACAGAGTCTATTTGCCCATGACCATGACCTCAGTCCCCACCATTTCATGCCCCATAACAGAAACATGCTCTTACAGGACACTGGCGTCCAAGGACATTCCTGTTAAAGATAACACTGCCCTTTTGCTCTGTTTTTCAGTATGTGGGCTGGCCTGTCAGCTGTCCTCAGACAGACCCATATGAGACAGAGGAAGGGACAGGTGAAGGTTGTGGACAGACCATTCTTAGCAGAGGCAGTGCACCTCCCAGCAAATGTGTGAAGAACTGTGTACATCTTAATTAAATAATGCTAATTAAATGACACAGCAACAGCATTTTTATCTCCCAGGCTGGCAAATATTCACAAGCGGAATCATACCCAGTGCAGGTGTGGGGAAGAGACAAACTCAAACACAGCTGTTGGTTCACACCCACACGGCACTCTTAGAAAGAGCTGCGACACCTGTGTCCGTAGAGAGTGCGCTGCACGCTGTGCAGAGTGGGGAACACGTCTCTTGCTGGATGCTACATGACTCACAAGCACAAGCAACACTCCTACAAGCCTGCGTGCACAGCTCCGTTCAGACACATGCACACAGGCACAGTCCCCAGTGGATCTGACAGTGGAACCCTCCCAGAGCACCAAACATGCTGAGACTTCCATAGAACCCATGCGGGCAAGAACTGCTATCTGGAAAACTTCTGGCAAGAGGGAAGCAAGATACAGGCAACGCAGTGTCAGCATTAATAAGTGAAATAAGTCAGTCAAAACAAGACAAATACCATAGGATTTCACTCATACGTGGAATCTGAGAAACAAAACAGATGAACATAGGGGAAGAGAAGGAAAAATCAAGTAAGACAAAACAGAGAGGGAGACAAACCATAAGACACTCTTAACTCTAGAGAAGAAACTGAGGGTTGCTGGAGGGGAGGTGGGGTAACTGGGTGATGGGTATTAAGGGGGGCACGTACGATGTAATGAGCACTGGGTGTTATATGCAACTGATGAAGCACTATATTCTACCTCTGAAATTAATAATATACATGTTAACCAACTTGAATTTAAATTTAAAAAAAAAAGTCCAAAAAACAAATTTAATAAAAAATTAATTTAAAAAAAAGTTGTTTAAAAAAAGAAAGAAATGAAATGAGACAAAACAAGGCCCTGGAGCAGATCCTGGTCCCAGGTGGTCCCATGGGGCCACTTCTGACCCATGTGGCCATGTGTGGCCCTGTGCAGTCACAACAGAACCTCTCTGGGGAGTGGTTTCCTTTTCTGCAAAAAAGAGGATAACAATAATCTTAGCTTTCAATAATTAAATGTGAGAATTGTAAGCATTAACTGAGGTCCCAGGGACAAAAGTGTATGTAAGTTAATAATTTCTAAACCCATATATAGCAAACTCCTCCCCTGATGAAATAACAGATCTAGTCCTTGATTGTCAAGGGATGCTAAAGCTCCCAGGTGGGGCTTTGCTGCATCAGGCTGGCCCCTCTGGGCTTCCTGGCCGACCAGTCGTAGCATGTGACGAGTGGGACCACGAGCACCAGGAGTCTCCTGACACGATGCCACAGGGAGCACACAGCCTGGCCTCAGAAGCAATCTTGCAAAAAATAATATACCTCAATCCGTTAGGCCTCTAGATCAGGAAACACAACAAAAAACAGCAATGAGGCACTGTGTTTATGTTTAAAAAATCCTCACTTCTGATACATTTTCAGACTCCTATGCCTGTTTTTATACATAAAATGGTTTCTCGAAGGAAGAAAGGAGAGAGGAAGGGAGGAAGGGAAGGAGAGAGGGAAGGGTGGGAGGGAGAGAGAGGAGGGAGGGAGCATGCTTGCTGGGAGTGGGAGGAGGGGTCAGCCAGTGAAGCACACGCAGGTCAGAGGATAGGATTTGCACCCTAGAGACAACCTGCCCAACCTGGCAAGGCACCCTGGAGCTCAGATACCTGGACCCCCCACAAAGCCCACGCTGTCGGCCAGTGAGGGGCAAACCCAGGCAGCTCAGAGGAGGCCTCTGGCTACCGGCCCACCCCCTGCTCCCTACCTGGGAACAGGGAGCGTGTGTGCTGCAAATTCTGGAATTTCCCCCCTTCAAATGTGGGATGTCTGGAAAGGATACACTTGCTCGGCTGGTGCTGAGACAACAAAATTCCCCAAACTCTGGAACGCCAGCCTTCGCCTCCTCCAGAATGCCACCACCTTCCACTGCTCATGGATCAACCCTGAGGTTTGTTGTTTTAACATAAAAACGGTGCCCTCCAACAGGGCTGCTCTCTTGGAAATGGCCAAAGTGAAAGCAGGCAGTTCCCCATCACTCCTGTGGCCCCAGACCCCCCAGTGGGGCATCCGGCAGAAAAAACAGTGGCTCCCCCAAATCAACAAGGGCTTATGGAGCACCCACTGTGCACCAAGCGAGAGCTGCCAGGACAGCAGGAAAACCCAGGAGGACCCTGAGCCCCAGCCGTGGCCGACACGCCTCACTGACGGCCAAGCTCTCTCCTCAAGGGCCCACGTGGCTTCCGTGTGGCCGCAGGGCCCCAGCCACAGGACCGACCCCACGTGAAACAAAACCCAGTGGATCTGGGGCACTATGTCCCCCAGGGAGCTCCCCTAGAGGAGAAGTGAATTGGAGACACCTGGAAGCGGGGAGATTCTTGAGAGGGAGGTGACCTGAATGGGATGCGAGAGAGCTAAGTTCAAGTCCTGCGTCTGCCACCAGCTTGTGGCGTGGCTTTGGACATGGCACTACCCTCTCTGGGTCTCAGCATCCCTACCTATGAATGAGGTGGCTGGACTAGGTGTCCCCACAGCCCCTGCCAGCCCCTAGGTCTCAGCACCGGGGTAACCAGAGAGCTCCCTGAGGGTGGAGCTGGGCAGGGAGCCCACCCAGGACTAGGGCAGGGCTGGGCTGGGCAGACAGCGGGGGCTCCACCCAGCCACAGCAGCCTGGCAGAGCCACTAGGGCTCTCACCTTCTCCCAGGCAATCCCAGGTGGGCCCATAGGTCCCAGGAAGCCAGACAGGAGGCTGGAGCAGGTGCAGGGTGGGGTTATGTGGGCAGGCAGGACACCAGGCCCCCATAAGACCCGTCCCCAGTCCTTCAGATGCAAGCTGACCTCCCAAGGCCACACAAGCACCCGGCTCTTGGGCACCTGGCCCCATCAGCAGGTCATTTCCAGACAAGAGTGTGATGTGTCCTGGTGCATCGCTGGAGCTCTGTAATTCATGAACTTACTCATTCATCCAACACGACAGCTACGGGGTACCTCGGGTGTGCCAAGCTCTGTGTTAAGCACCAGGCATACAAGGTGCTGACTTGGTAAACCTGGTCCAGCTGGTAGAGAGGGATGATCCCAGCAAGCATTATCAGGTGCCTGCAGCACGCCCTGAGTCCTGCAGTGGAGACACGCCCCAGGCCAGGGCTGTACGGGTGGAGATCCCTCACAGCTGTCCAGCAAGAGCCCAGCACAGTGCCCTTAGATGGCCAGGCTGTGGGAAACAAGTTAATACTAGCAGCAAAGTTCACACATAGGGACTTCCAGGAACTAGGACCCACGTGGCCATGTTAGGGGAACCGGGGTCAGAAAACGCAGTTTTGAATCCCAGCTCTGCCACTTACAGCTGTGGGGCCCAGAACAAGTTACTACACCTCTCTGAGCTAGACATTTCGCACGTGAGTCGGATCTCACCCAGCAGGTTGTTGCACATCTGACACAAATGGGGGGTGGTGCAGCTCAGTTACTGAATCGTGGCTCTGCCTCTTACCAGCCTCTCCGAGGCTCAGCTGCCCCATCTGTAAAATAGGCTGATGACACGGCAAGTCGTCCCCAGCAGTCACACTCACGTCTCTGCAGTCCCAGAGCCGAGCGTAAAGCAGAGGGGCATGGCCGCGCAGAAGTCTGCACCCCTAGCCTCCCGCATCAGAGGTACAGCCACAGATGAGAGCCTGCCTTGGAGTGTAAGAACCTTCCGGATCCACACACACTAATATGCTATTCAAGGCTTCGGGGGGGGCACCTGGGTGGCTCAGTCGTTAAGCATCTGCCTTCGGCTCAGGTCATGATACCAGGGTCCTGGGATCAAGCCCCATGTCGTGCTCCCTGCTCAGCGGGGAAGCTTGCTTCTCCCTCTCCCACTCCCCCTGCTTGTGTTCCCTCTCTCGCTGTGTCTCTCTCTGTCAAATAAATGAATAAAATCTTAAATAAAAAAAAGACTTCAAGGGAGCTGCAGTCAGTAGAACACTGGCCCCCAAAGATGTCCAAGTCCTTCTCTCGGACACTTGAAGGGGAGACGGCTACTGAGTAAGAAATGAATAAGGAAGTAGATATGTTGCTGAGTTCTTTGGGGAAAAAACACAACCACCCTCAACCAGAAACACTCGCCCTGTAAAGGAACCCTCCACAGTCTGGATGTGAGTTCTCCAGTCGGTGTTTTCCAAAGCCCGAACACTACCCCCCGCCATGGCCACCTGTCGAGGGGACTCTGCAGCTGAAGAGAGAACCAGGACAACGGCTCCCTTCAGAACGCTGCCGTTCCCGGCTGGGGAGCGCTACGGCACCATCACCCTCTGGGATCGCCTGGCTAGCTGCTCGGCCCAGAGCTCCCGGCTGCTCCATGCGGCCGTCCACTGGGGGCAAGCTGACAGCTGGGGCCACCATCCTCATGCGGAACCAGCCACGTACTCACTGGATGGGAAAGCAGTCATCCCACCCCCGAAACAACCCGTAGGTTCTGCTCCATCCAGGGCTAGGAGAAACTCATCAACCGCAGCAAGCGCTTCCAGCAGGAAGATGCTGACCATTGTTCTGGAAGCCAGGAGAAACAGGTTTACAGCAAAGGAACAGCTCTCAGTTGGCTGTAAAGGACCTTTCTGGAAAGGGAATTTAGGGGATTTCCCTCAGGTTGCGATTCTCTTGTGGGATCCTTTCACATCTTAGAAATCCAATGTTCATCAATAGTTTGGGGACTTCATTTGCATTCTAAAGAGCAAGACATTTTCCCAGGAATTGTTTTTCCTTCTGCTCATTCTGCCCTGCTTGCTGCATCCTTCTGTTCTCCATTTCAGTGTCCCTGCCTCCTGAGACCTTGCCCTAGGCACGTCCCATTGTCCCCTGGCTCCCCCCACTCTACACGCACCCCTACAGTACTGGAAGGCATGTCATCCCCCACCGTCCATCACCAGGCTGGGACCGAGGTCTGGGACAGGGATGAGGACGCAGGCCAGAGCCTGGGGGGGGATGGGGTGGTGGAGATGTCCCTCTGGATAAACGCTGAGGTGCTCTGCAGTTTCATTGTCACTTGGATGTGGCAGCTTTCATTCATGGCAGTGGCTTGGCCACATTCCCCAGCATGATTTTTTTCAAAGGACGGATTCTCTGACTGCTTGGTGTCCTTGGTCTCCAGGTAGACAGCAGACAGGCTTCTCCCCAAAAAACCAGAGACACCATTCCCGTCTGGAACAGCCTCCGGGCCACGGAGGTCCCTGGGAGCTGGCCTGGCTCCGTGAGGCCTGGGCAGGGCAGCAGCTCACCTCTCTCCCAGGGTCTGGGTCTGTACACCTGTGCCAGGGGTGAGTGCTCGCTCCACCCGGCAGCCCATCACGAGCCTTCAGCATGCCTGGGAGATACCAAGCACCTGAGGTGGAAATGGGGCTCGGGGAGCCTGCTGCCCTTACCCTCAGAGCAGTAACAAGATTTAGGAAGGTGAGAAGCAGACCCGCATATCTACAGTAAACGCTGTAACCAGGCTCAGTAACATTCTAGAAGGCCATGAAGCCTTAGGACAGGTCAAAGGGCCACATCTTTGCTGGCCACATTGCTAGCTGCTAGGCCCACATGGCTATTTAAAGTGAATTAAATTCAACTACAGTTCAGTTGCAGTGACCATACCTCAAGTGTTCAATAGCCACATGTGGCTTGTGGGCCGCTGCACTGAACAGGGCAGATCTAGAACGTGCTATCACTGCAGAAAGTTCTACTAGCCAGGGCTCGGCTGCATGGTAACTGCTCAGTGAGTGGTACGAGACACAGATGGAAGAGAAGAGGAGGAGAGAGAACGAGCTGGGTGGTAGGGAGGTGAGGGACTAGTAGGGGGGCTGGAGGGAGGGGTGGGAGGGGGCCGGGAGAAAGGGGGGAGGCAGCGGGGAGGGGACTGGCGGGGGGCATTAGGGAGGGGGCAGGCAGCAGAAGGGGGACTAGAAGAGAGGGGGAGGCAGCGGGGAGGGGGCTGGGAGTGAGGGCAAAGGAGGGAGGCATTAGGGAGGGGGGAGGCAGCAGAGGGGCGACTAGAAGAGAGGGGGAGGCAACAGGTAGGGGGCTGGGAGTGAGGGCGAAGGAGGGAGGCATTAGGGAGGGGGCAGGCAGCAGAGGGGTACTGGAGAGACGGGGAGGCAGCGGGGAGGGGGAGGCAGCAGAGAGGGGGCTAGGGGAGAGGGGGAGGCAGAGGGAGCAGTTTCTCCAGGCTCCCTGACTGAGTGTGAGGCGCCAAGGACCATAGGAGCATCCTTCTCAAAACTCCTTAAACTCCTTGGAACACATTCCGCCTGGAAGGTCGCAGATTTCAGAGCCTTTCCTGGAGAAAGCAATCGGGAGGGGAGGGAGGCTGCAGGTCAAGGGAGGGCCCCACAAGGCTGGGCCCACCCCTCCTGACCTCCCTAGCTCCTCCAGCCTCTCTAAGCGGTTTGCAGACAAGAGGCTCTTAGTGCCCTCTCGTGGCTCCTCCTGTCAAGCTTCAGGACAACACACACACAGGCGGGAGTGCCGGGGCTGGGCCAGCCCACCGCAGAGGAGCGTGTCATCCCGGGAATGTGTCTGGGGATTTCGGAACAAAGCGGTCACATACCCTCCACCTGGAGCAAAAGCGCTGCCACCATCCCAGCGTCTCTGCTGCAGCCTCCAGGCAGGCCTCCATTCAACTTGCTTCAGCCACGGTGCTTTTCCCAAACACAGTGTGACGCGCTGTGATCTTTAAAAAACCACCAAGGCCTCCCGCAGTCTGGTCCCTACTCCACCTCCTGTCATTGCCCCTCCTAGGCATAAGCTTCCTATGTAGACAGAATGCTCCGGACTGTCCTGGGCAGGCCCTCACATTGCGCACCTCGGCTGCACGCTGTCGTCAGCCTTCGTCACCAGGACAACAGGACTCGCCTTCCCCCAGGAACCTACCCTGACCTCAAGACAGGTCCACAGGCCTTGTCTTATATTAGTTTCCCCGGGAAAAGCAGAGCCTGAGGCCAGGATTAACTGCAAGTGCTTTATTGAGAGGTGATCCAGGGAGGCCTGTGAAGGAATGGGGAAGTGAGCCTGGGAAGGTGAGCAGCCAGGACAAGGGGCATCACCAAGGTGAGCACAGAGGACAGTGGGGTTCAGTCCTGCTAAGGAGCTCCAGGAGACAGTACAGAACACAGCTCAGAGCTGTCCCATCCAGGGAGGAGGCTGGCTGTTTAACCACAGCTCCCAGCCACAACTGGCTGAGGGCTTCCCCCCGGGGACGTCACTCCCTAGCACATGCAGTCTGTGCCTGCACTGGCTCCCCCAGCCAGAGAACACCAGTCAGGAACTGCGGGTCCGTGGGGCAACATGGGAATGACTGTGAACAGGATGTCAAGAGCACCCCCTGCCCTCCCAGCCCCACGCTCACGTGTGCTTCACTCACTACGCAACTGTCCCCATATTACAGTATCCCATCAGCCTAGGCGCACGTCTTACGCTCACCCCTGCCAATGCCTGACACACAGTACGCACCGATAAATATTTGCTGAGTGAATGAACAATGCTCAGTGTCACCCTTAGGCCAGTGGAGATGGGCCCTAGGAGAACACCACTATGCCCCCAAGGGAAGCCTGGAGGCCCTCCAGGACCACCCACTCAAATGCCCCACGGGGCCAGCCCCTGGCCCAATGGCAGCCTCGTCATCCTCAGCCCTCCAAAGCCTAGATCTCCACCTCTGTCTTCTTCCCGTCTCTAAGGTGGCCACCCCAGTTCACACATTCCCTACCCCCAAGTCTGGTTCCTGTGGGAATCCGTCCATTCCTTCCTGCCAGGGTAGCAACAGAGGTCAACTCGGGGTCGGGGTCGGGGTCGGGGGTGGGGGTGGGGGAAGGTTCAGTGGTTTCTACTTTCTCCTCTGTACTCTTCTGTATTCTCAAAATCTTCCAAAGCGAACTGTGCTACTTTAATTAAACTTTTATTTTGAGATCATCGTGGATTCACAATGACTTACAAGAAATAATACAGAGAAATCCCGTTATCCTCATCCAGTTTGCCCCAATTGGTAACATCTTGCAAAACTGTAGCATAATCTCACAACCAGAACATCAATAAAGTCAAGATATAGGATGTTTCCATCACCACAGAATGCCTCATGTTGTCCTTGGATGATGATACCTACTTCCTTCCCACCCCCCACACACCCCCAAGCCCCTGGCAGCCACAAGTCTGTTCTCCATTTCTATAATTTGATCATTTCAAGAATGCTATGTGGAACAACTGGATATCCACATGCAAAAGACCATCAAATGCATGTACCTCACACCATATATAAAAGTTACAAAACTCACTCAAAATAGATCAAAGCCCCAAATGTATGAGGTAAACTATAAATCTCTTATGAGAAAACATAGGTAGGGGCACCTGGGTGGTTCAGTCGGTTGAGTGACTGCCTTCAGCTCAGGTCATGATCCCAGGGTTCTGGGATCGAGCCCCGCATCGGGCTCCCTGCTCAGTGGGGAGTCTGCTTCTCCCTCTCCCTCTGCCTGCTGCTCCCTCTTGCTTGTGGTCTCTCTGACAAATAAATAAAATCTAAAAAAAAAAAGAGCAAGAGAGAAAACATAGGTAAATCTTTGTGACACTGGATTAGGAAATGGTTTCTGAGAAATGACCATCTGACCTAAGAAAAAACAACCACCTAAGAAAAAATAGAAAACTGGATTTCATGGAAATTTAAAAACTTCTGTACTTCAAAGGTCATCATCAAGAGAGGGAAAAGGCAACCCGCAGGGAAAAATATTTGCAAATGATACATCTGATAAGGACCTACCATCCAGAACACAGCCAGAACACAAACTCAACAACAATGAAAGAAATGGATGATCCAATTAAAACACAGGCAATGAGTCTGAACAAACATCTCTCCAGGAAGACACGCAAATGGCCGATGAGCACGCGGAAGGACACTCAATGTCACTAGTCATCAGGGAAACGCAGATCAAAACCATGATGAGACACTGCTCCACACCCACAAGGACGGCTATCATCCAAACAAGGCTAACAGCAAGTGTCAGCAAGGATGTGGAAAAACCCAAACTGGTCTGCCTGGCTGGCATGGATGTGAATATAAAATGGGGCAGTTTTCCACTGTGGAGAACGGAGTTACCTCAAGCCCCGGCATTCCCAGGTGCAGACCCAAGAAGAACGCAAACAGGTCTACACAAAAGCAGCACGAGCGATGGTGAGCCGACAGGCGGAAACAACCCAAAGGCCCAGCAGCCCCGGTTACCCACATAAAAAGGAATGCCGCGCTCACGTGGGCTACACGTGCACTGAGAGGCGCCAGACAGAGCAGACCCACATGCCACAGGACTGCACGCACAGGAAAAGTCAGAAAGCAGGTGGGTGGCTGCCAGAGGCCGGGCAAGGAGGGAAGGAGTGATGCAGGAGCAGTTTCTTTTTTGGGGTGACCACACGGGTCGGGAATGAGACAGCAGGGGGAGGGCTGCACAACCATGTAAATACACCAAAATCCACTGAATCATATGCTGTAAAAAGGTGAATTTTATGATGTGAATGACATCTCAGTTTAAAAACCTCAACTGCCCTAATTTTATGCAACTCACTGAAGTGCGAGCCGCCTGACACAGGTGCCCACAGCACCTCTGGCCGGTCACCGGTGGGCCCGCTGTCCCGGGCAGAGGGAAGAGAGGCACCGAGGCGGCCCCCTCCCTCAGGGACGCCGGGCTGGAGAACGCGCCCCCTCCACAAAGCGTAACCAGCGTCACCATTCAGTCAGGCGCCACTCGGGAGTTTCAGGAATAACATTTATTGGCCGCATTCGCCAGAGTCTCACCCGCATCCACAGCAACAGCACCACAACGGAGCACTGCCTGACGAAGAAGAACTTAGACCCAACCCCGGTGTGAGTTACAGGATCTGAGAAAATGGTGGCTTATCACAGACTCCTCCTGACTTGACGGCTTTCGTTAAAGACCTCGATTATGACTGACATTTTCGTTGATGTTCTCGGCAGTGGCTGAAGACTCCAACTTCAAAACCAAAACAAGTGGCTGGAAAGCAAAGAGAAATGCAGTTACTTGGAACTGTGCCCCACGCTGAGCCCATGCCGCCCTGGCAGGACCTGGTAGGGAGCCTCCCTGGGTTGGAAGGCGGGGGGACCCCCACAGTGGAGGAGGACGCCATCTGAGTCCCCGAGGAGCCCAGGCAGGAAAGGGTACAGGGAGGCGACGCCAGGGTGTGTCGTAGCTGGCTCACTTCCAGCCGTGGGTCCTCGGATGAGGCACTCGGCCCCCAGAGCCCACTCTCCCCCTCGGGGCAGGAAGGAGAGTCCCCGCCTTGTGCAGCTGTGAAAGGGACCCGATGCAGCTGCAGTGGGCCCCATCGAGAAGGCCCGTTTGACTGTCACAACTCTTCAAGGGTCCCTGCTGGGGAAGTCTCAAGCTCACCTCCCCTCCGGAGGCCTTCACAGTTCTAGCAAATCTCTGCCAGGCCAGCCCACAGGCAGCTGGCAGCTTCTCCTGAGAGAAGCTGGACGAACAGTTTGGGGGATTTCACAGAGCACCCCGCAGACAAGAGAGTTCTCCTGGACATCTAGCTGGCACCTGTACCTCGGCCCAAGAGCCTGGCTCTGAGGCAAACGCCTCCTCCACGGTCATTAGCACCTTCCCTTTGGCCTACCCTGACCATCTACCTCATGTACCATCTACAGCCGAGCTGCTTCTTACGCTTCCCAGAGTGGGCACCAGGGAGTCCAACTCATTGTGACGGTCAAGTTGGCAAACACACACAAAGAAAAGATGAATCTTCACGCAAAGCAAAGAAGAAACAATCTCACGGTTTCACGAGCCTACTCACGCTCACAGATCACCCAGAGCCACCGGCCCCCTGCCCAAGAGCACATGCCCCAGAGAGGCTGCAGGTCCACAGGGGCACTCGCATGTGGATGCGCCCTGTGGCATCGTTTGTAATCACAGGGTTAGAGGAAATATCAGTGCCCAACACCAGGAGAGCAGACCAGCAGGGAGGCAGGCCTTCTGCTTCCAGCCAGGACCAGAGACAAAGACAGAGCTAACCCCCTGCTGTGAACAACACCAACGAGGACACTGGACAGAAGACACCAACAACCATTTTCAGATACTGGACACTTTCTAGTACATTCCTCTTACAATTACAGGAAGACGGACGATTAAGAAGCAAACAAATCAATATATATAAATTTGATCTGCTGATACAGTTTTGCACATCTTCTATCCACACGCATTTGTGTATCTGCATGTCCTTGCACACAGCTGTGATCAAAGAGCCTGAGTACAAGACCAAAGGAAGCAGTCCTGCCTGTCCCCAGGCGGGGGGTTGGGAGGGACACCCTGGAGGAGGGCCTAGGTGGGGATCTAAGTGACAAGGCCTGAGTGAGGCTGGTGGGGTTGAGGCTGGGGCAAAGGCCTTCCAAAATGGAGCCTCGATGGCTGGGACCAGGCCGGCGGGGAGAAGCCGCAGGTCCCCAGGCCGGAAGCTGTGCTTACTCCCCAGCGGGGTGGCTGGGCAAGCGGCCTTTAACAGCCACCTTCAACCTCGACGTGACGGAAATGTGTGCAGACTGGAACCAGTGGCAGCCACGGGGACGAGGTGAAGAAAGGCAGGCTGCCCCAAGATGCCCAGTGCCCCACCGTCAGCTCTGATGTGCCTGGACTGCTTGTCCATTAAGTGTGTGCTGGAGTAAGATCCCCACGTAGGGTGTGAGCAACTAACTCTGGACGGTGAGAACAGCACCATGGTGATCCCACTGCAGCCATTCCTTACCCTTTCTTCAGCCACAGCCAACTTCTCCCCCATCCTGGATTCAACTAAACCCCCAGCCCCTGACCCAAAAGGCCGGGGAGTGAGATGGGCCCAGGGCCCCCACCGCCCCCGCCCTGTGCCTGCTCACCGAATGGCCACCACGACCCTCAGGACCGCCTGCAGGAGGGTCAGGAGGCTGAAGGGCAGGAGGGGGGCCGGGGGGCTCACTCCCCTCCCTGGGGCCAGTGGCTCATGCTGGTGAAGGGCCTGGAGCTGCTGCCACTTGAGGAGGAGGCGCCCGTCACAGCAGATCCGCCAGCGGTTGTACCAGGAGCGCAAGTCCAGGGCGGGTTCTAGGCGAGAAAGCGAGTCAGGCCCCGGGCAGAGTGGGGGCAGAGTGGGGGCAGAGCGGCGCATGTGCATACCACAGAGGGGAGAACGCTCCAGAACCCAGGGCAAGGATGCCAGGTGTCCCGGCAAGGCCGGTCACGGCCCCGAGAGTGCGGACGCTGACCGACACCCATGGAGATGAAGAGAACACCGCTGTCTACTTATTTCTGGGCTGACTGGGGGCTCATGCCAGCATCTTTATCCCTTACAGCCACATGATGAGCTAGTTAGGGATGAAAAAACATAGAATTTAGCTGGGATGTGCCTCCCATTAATTTTTTGGGTTTTTTTCCCAAGGGGAGGCACAAGTGGGTGAAGCTCAGATGAAACCAGACTGGCAAGAAGTTGATAATGAGTAGAACTTAGTGATGGAAACACGGGATTTATGGGAGTATCTGAAAAAAACACAACCACAGATGGGACTCCAGTTGCTAGCTTTTGAGATCTGCTCTGGTCCACATGGGACCCTTCCGACATCACATCTTATTTATATTACACTTATTTATATTAGAGCATGCTACGACTACAAATCACACTATATTTATATATTACATATACCACATGCAAACTCTATTTGGCATATTATATGCTACATTACTACTCTAATTATACTAACGTGTAAAAGCATGGTTAATATAGAACACAATATTTTCTTTATTAAACAATCCTACTGCAAAAGCATAGGGAAGAAAAGCAGATAAGCCCCCTCTTTACAAAGAAAATACAAGATGAAAAATACAGATTTTTCTCTTTAAAACGGAAATAATCTGGATTTGAGGCTAAGGGAAATATTTTTAAATAACTTTTTTTAAATCATACTTTTAAATCACTCTACACAAAGTTCAAGGGGAGCTGGTACCAGTGAGACCTGGGCTCTCAGTCCTGTCCTGGGAACATCTTTGGGCCTGAATGGGTTAAGGCTTGACTCGTTGTTTGTATAAATTGCCTGCACTATTAAACAAGGACTGGAGAAAAGTTAATACTAGCTTTTGAACATGTATCAAATTGATGCATAGGATTCAACAATAAGCCGAGCTTTTAGCTTTTCCTAAAGATGCAGAGTATTCAAAACCAAAAACAACCAATAAAAATAACCCACAAATGTATGATTACACAGTTAAAAGAGCAGTTTCTCCAACTGTTCTTATCCTCCTACTGTGGTTTCTTTCTTAAAGGGATTTCTGGCTCTTCTCCCCCAAACTGGAGCCAACATGCTGCTTTCTGTTTTGTTGATTATACGGCCCCCAGTCGTGCTCTTTGAGCTCCTGAGCTCCCGTCTTCCCCACCCCCACAGGTCACCTATTCGGTCAGCCCAGACACACATCACCAACCCGCATCCACACCCACACAGGACTTCAGTTTTTCAGGGCCACAGGAATGGGGTCCAGCTGCACGGCCTGCAGCAACTTGTTTTTCTTCGCTGCAGTGTGTCTGGGGCTCCCTCCCGTCGTCCCTAAGGGCTGCGTGCTCTACATGGCAGGTGCCACATTACAAATACACCCTCACGCATGTCCATCCTCCCACTGGGAGACATTTCAGCTGCTTCGGACACCTTGCCAAGGACACTGCTGCTGCAGACAGGCAGGCATGTGGGAGTGTCTACCAGACACTACCCGGACATGGGCTTGCTGGAGTAAAGATGACGCGTATTACAAAAGTTGACTGATGGGAGAAATGGGTGAAGTGGTCAAAAGGTACAAACTTCTACTTATAAAATAAATAAGTCCTTGGGCTCTAACGTACAGCACGACCATAGTTAATAATACCGTGTTGTATATTTGAAAGTTGCTAAGAGAGTCGATCTTAAAAGTTCTCATCACAAGAAAAAAAGTTTGTTAACTATATGAGGTGAGAGATGTTAACTAGACTTACTGTGTCGGTCATTTCACAAAAATATAAGTATCAAACCGTTACACATACTCCTGAAACTAATATAATGTTCTATGTCAATTATATCTCAATAAAAAATAATTTGATAGATGCCTCTAAACTGCCCCCACAAAGGCTGTGTCCATCTGTGCTGCTCCTAATTGTGTCACTCTTATTATCAGGGAAAACAGTATTTTTGCAGCATTAAGAGGTGGGCATGCTGGCTGGTGGCCACTCATTTCCTGGGCACTCTCCCACCCGGCCCTATGCTCCTGGGTTCTGGGCAGGCCGCTCAACTGCTCGCCCATCACAAGAACCGAGCCCCAGCCTGGCATCCATCCATTCCCTCCTTCACAGATTCCAGCAAGGGCTGCTCACCACGCACAGCACGGGAACGGCTGGGCAAGGGGAGGATCTGATGCGAACCACCCAGCATGTCCACCCCTTTGCTCGCGTGCAGTGCAGAGGAAGCATACATGTCGGCCATCGGTGCCGGACAAGGCTTTCAAGAGCAATCCAACCCATTTGTTTTAGAGACAAAGAAAATAAAGGTGGGGATGGAGATGCCACCTCCTCAAGGGCTGACGTGAGTGCATAAGTATATACCGGCTCACAGATACATAAATCCACAAACACGCTTTGTTGCAGATACATACCGCATCATGAACATACGTATCCGTGGTATGGACCACGTCTGCCAGAAATACGTGGACGTGTGCATACTAGCTCTCAAATACATAAATGTATAAATGTACCACAAAATGAGTGCATACCTAAATACGTCACAAACATACATTGTGTCCTGCATATGTAAATGTAGGCATAGGTACCGTATCACTAGTAAATACACTTACTAGGTCATAAGTGTATGTGTGTATGTATACGCCAGAACACACACACACACAATGTCACAAACTATGGAAGATTAGAGCCTAAAAGAAAATACACTTTAGATACCATCTAACTCCAGGCTGCAAATTGGCTTCATCTTGAAAGCCAAGGCAGATAGACTGGTAGAGTGTAAGGCTTCTCTAGGTTCCCTGGGGAAAAATGGTAGATGGCTAGCGACGCCTGGCAAGAAAAGGGGGTGAAGATGCGGTATGTGTGTCACATGCCCATCTCTGTTTTACAGATACCTGGGGATGAGAGAAGTCTCCCCATCCCCACCATGACACCCCGCCTTCCTTGGGGAGTGAGGGGATGAAACACGTATGCTCGGTTACCTTGGATGCCTTTACAACTCTGCTGCTTTTTCACCACCTAAAAGAAAAGAATGGGGGCAGATGTGTCAGCCCAGCCTGGTGGTCTACCAGAAGGGTGGGCCCAGGGATTGGGCCGGAAACCAGGAAAGGGCTGTGGCCAGCTCAGAATGCAAGCCATGGTCCCCTTTTAAAGGGCCTCTGAGTCTTAATTCTGGGGACAGTTTGCTACTTGATGAGAGAAAACCAGCAAATGATAAGTGGATGAAGGCAGAAAGCAAGCCTCTATCGACCACCCAGGACACCCAGAAAGCATGGGAGAGAAGGGGCCATGGGGCTGAGGAGGACTGGACCTGGCCAGCAACCCCAGGAGTCACCGCCCTGGAACCCAGAGCCCTGGAGGCGCCCAGACAGAGCTGAAAAGCCAGGACAGAAATTCAGAGCGATGGACCTTCCCGGCTCCTCCCTCTGCCTGCCAGGATGCCCAGAGAGCTGGAGAGGGCGCTGAGGCAAGGTGAGGGATGTGCAGAAGAGGAAGGAGTAGGAGGCAGGAGAGACGGCATTAAAGGTGGGGGCAGTGATGAGAGACCCCCTTTAGAGAGCCGTGCGGCCCACCCTCCCAGCACCCCCCAGGACACCGAGCTGGCCCTCCTCTGCACACACCCACCTCCTACACTCCACTGCACTCACTGTGCCTTCCAGGAGACCCCAGACACCAGTGGAGGCCACTGTGGGGAAAGAACCCAGCACCCTCCACCCCATCTCCGGGTCCCTCTGGGGCCTCGCTGCCGTGAGCCTCCCTCTTACCTTCTTGTGAGGCCTCAGGACCTGGGGCACCCAGTAGGGCATCACGGCCTGATCCCTAGGCATCGGGAGGCGGCCCCCAAAGCGGTGGCATGGGCAGGGGCATGCCTCGGAGGTTTTGGGGATATGAAACCGGACCATCTTTTGGATCTAACAGAGAGGAAGGGAAGAGAAGGTCCAAAGGGGTTGTACCCCAGAAACCTTCGCCCTGGGACGGGGCCCTGGGGAGCTCCTCTTCTGTAACCTCCCACAGGCCCACCCCAACCACCCAGCTGAGGGAGCAGTCTCCCCCTCACGACATTCCCTGGGGCTGCCTGCACCTCTGCAGTGGGAGGTCTACATGGCTGCCATGGGGGGACACGTGAATTACAGTCAGGAGACGTGGCTCTGTCTTGAGTCTGCAGGCCTCCGGGAGTGGCCCCTGGGCACAACGTTTAGCCTCTCTGAGCCTCAGCGTTCTTGGCTACAAAGCTTTCTGAAAACATGGGTCAGAGTCTAAAATGGACAGTGTCTGATCCAGCAGTTCCACTCTGGGACACGTGTGTACCTGCAGAACGACGCTCCCAAGAACAGTCGCTGCAGCACAGGTGTCGTGGCCCAAGAGCCCAAGGGCCTGTCTGGCAGGGACACGGGGACAACAGGGAATGGGGCAGGCTTTGGAAAGTGCAAGGCAGACCCGTCTGTCCTGATGTGAATGAATGCAGAGACATGATGTGGAGTGGGAGACGTAGCACACAGGCCCGGATGCAGCCATGTGCAGTTTTTACAGAAAATCTACGTGCTATGACTCCTGGGCGTGAGTTGTTGGGACCACACGGCCTTGTCTCATTCTCTACCCTCCCCATAGCCCTGCCCTTTGCCCTGGGACCGCCGTTCGTTCCGGCAGAGGGGCAGCGTGGAGCCCGCCCCCGGACTTCGCTTAGGCCATGCAGGGGTTTGGCGCACAGAACGAGGAGGAAGTGACGGCAGCCAGGTCTGGCCAGGCAAAGCGGCCACACAGGCCTCTAAACGTCTGGGCCTGCACAATGGCCCCTAGATCAGGGGCAGGTGGGGCCGGCCCACCCAGCTGAGCCGCTCACAATGACAGGGACTGCAGTTTGAAGGCAGGCAGTCGGGCAATGTGTCACGTGCCGCTGGTGAAAGACCACACGCACAGCACATCTCCGGGCTGCACAGGGAAGCCTCGGGGGAGGCGCAGCCGGGGTATCCCCCCTGAACCAGCGTAAGTTCCCGCCATGTGCTCGGGTCACACGTTAGAGAAAAGACAACAAAACCTACTTGTGAGTGGACCCTGCTGACTTCCCGAGGCAGAGGAGAAGTGGCCCAGAGAAGGTGTGCGACATGCTGCAAAGCACAGGACCCCACAGGGGAGGGCCCAGGGGCGGAAGGGTCATCCAAAGGAAGAGATGGAAGGGGTTCTGGAGAACCCAGGAACCTCCGTCCCCCCCCACCTCCTGCCAACATGGCACTGCCCAACAGGACAGGCATACTCGGGCCGGTTCTGCCCCATCCACCAAGCGCTGGCTGAGCACACTCTCTAAGCACGCACGGCGCTAGGAGCAAAGACCTGTCCTGCCCACAGCAGTTCACTATGCAGCGCTGTCCGCTGACAGAATAAATGCCAGGATGCGGGGGAGCAGGAGTGGGGAGAAACTCCAGGCCGGGAAAGTCTGTCTGGGAAGCATCACTGAGCTGCGCCGCAGGGGCCGGCTAGGTGGAGAAGGCAGCAGAGCAGCATGTGCCTGTTGGAGAGCCCTCAGGATGTGGACAGAATGAACTTCCCAGGCACACCCTATGGGCTGCCCCCGCAGCAATCATTCCCCAGCCCCCCTTGTTAAAAGAACCCAGCTTTACTCAAGGGGCAAAGTGCCCAGTCCCAAGGGAGCAGCACCAGCCAGTCAGGGCTTTGCCAGGAATGAGTCTGGAGGTGAGGACAAAGAGACAAAAGAGAAGTTGGCTGGGGCGTCTGGGAATTTTTTTATCCCTGATGAGAGAGCAGAATGGGAAGGTAAGCCTTCTATGCCTCCCCTGAGAAAAGGAGGACCCCAGAAAGGCTCACTTTCTGCCACGTGTATCATGGTGTAAAAAGGAGACCCATGGCCACCATCTCGAAACACTAAAGATGACAGCGCCACACTATGCGTAAAGGATAAAAAGACGCTGGTCCTTAAGCACACTGTTCAGCCGTAAAGCCAATCCTAGAAGAGTCCTCTCTCTACCAAGAATGGATGAACCCACTGCGGGTCAGTTTCCTGTTACTTGCACCTAACCCTTCCCTCTGTTGGAACAGAAGCCTGAGGGGCAAGTGGAAAGGAGGCTGGAGCCAGGCGGGGGCAAGATCAGGAAGGACCCCAGGAACTGTGTCCGGGACTTTGTTCCACACTCAGAAGTTGGGAGCTACAGAGGAGTGATAGGACCAGATCCACAGTTTTAAAAGCTCATGGGGCTGCCGATCAGAACATGGACAGCCAGAGCTAGAGAGGACAGAGGCGGGGAGACCAGCCGGAAAACATGAGACAGGCTAGGCACCTTGGCCTTTGTATTCCTTCCATCCTGCTTAGGGCCACCTCCTCCCTGACGCCCAGCAGCACAACTCAGTGGGGAGAATTCTGGATTCTAATCCCTCGTGTGCTATGAACTGACTGTGTAACCTTAGAAAAGCCTGCCCCACTCTGGACCTCAGTCTGCCCATCTTTTAGAGGGGTACAATAGTATCTACCCTGCCCAACTTTCAAATGATACAGTGACCAACAGGAGGGACTAAGGCCGTCATCACTGCCTAGAACATGACTCAGTCATCTTGAAGCCAGTGACCCCTTTGAAAGTCTACTAAAAAACAAGAAATGAGAGAGATGGCCTCACTACAGATTCTACTGATATTAAAAGAGTAATTAGAAAATATTATGAATAACATCATGCCAATAAATTTGACAATGATGTAATGGGTAAATTCCTTAAAGCTTGCTAAATAAGAAGCAGATAACCGAAATAACTCTGTATCTACGGAAAAATTAAACTTGTAGTTAAAAACCTTCCCACAAAGGAAGCTCTGTCCCACATGGCTTCAGTGGTAAATCCTACCAAACATCAAAGGAAGAAATAATACCAATTCTACACAAAGTCTTCAAAAAACTGAAAATGAGAGAATACTTCTCAACTCATTGTACCAGGCCAGCGTTACCCAAATACAAAGGCAAACAAGGACAATGCAGATCAATATCCCTCATGAATAAACATGCAAAACTTCTAATCAAATATATGAAGGAGAATGCATCATGATTAAAGGGGGTTTCTCCTAGGAAATGGTGTAACTTTTGAAAATCCACCAACGCAATCCATCATATTAACAAACGAAAAAAAGTGATAATCTCAATAGACAGAAAAAATCCAATGTTCATTTTGGATAAAACCTCTCAGCAAACTAGGAATAGCCAGAACTCCCTCAGCCTGATGCAGGGCATCTAAACCAACAGCTAACATCCTACTTCATGGTGAAAACCTGAATGCTGTCCCTCTAAGATGAGGAAGAAGACAAGGACATCTTGTCTCCCCACTCCACTCAACAGTGTACTGGAAGTTCTAGCCAGGGTATCAGGCAAGAAAAATAAAAGGCATCCAAACTGTAAAGGAAGGAATGAAATCATCTCTCTCTGCAGATGACATGATCATCTACGTAGAAAATCTGATGGAATCTACAAAAAGAGCTACGAGAATAAAGGAGGTAACCATTATTGTAGACTGCAAGATCAAAATACAAAAATCAGTGGTATTTCTAAATACTGGCAATGAACAATCATAAACCGAATTTTTAAAATGATGTCATCAAAGCTATGAAAAACTTACGGATCAACGTGACAGAAGGTATGTCAGACCCGTGCACTGCTGACTGCAAGCGACCCCTGAGAAACACGAAAGGCCTACACGGATAGAGAGGTCACCACGTTCTCAGGTCAGAAGAGTCAGTGTTATTAAGATGATCATTCTCTTTACACTAATTTACACAAAAAAGACCAACCAAACTCCCAGCAGGACATTTCTGTAGAAACTGGCAGATGGATTCTAAAACTCACATGGAAATGCAAGGAAACTAGAATGACCAACTTAAAGAAAGAGAACCGGCATTGAAGGACACACGGCTCCTTATAAAGTCACAGTAATGGAGACAGCGTGGCGGCATGCAGACAACGAGAGCAGCAGAAGGAATGGAGTCCGGAAACAGACCCACAGCTACATGCACAGCTCGTTTCTGGCAAAGTTGCAAAGGCCAGCCAGGGGAGAAAGCATGGGCTCTATGACAGGTGGCATTAGAACAACTGGACTCCCACAACGAAAGCAAAGGAACTTCAACCCATACCTCAAGCTATACACAAAAATTAACTTAAAATGGATCACAGACCTAAACACAAACTGTAAACTATAACACTTCCAGAAGAAAATAAAGGAGAAACCTTTCCGACCTTGGCGTAAGCTAAGATTTTTTAGGAATACTTAGAAAGCATGTCCTACCACTGTGCTGGGGGGAGGAGCACACCTAAGCAAGATCCAGAAAAGGTCAAATTGATAAACTGGACTCCATCAAAATTTAAAACTTATGCTCTGTGAAAAAAACTGATAAGAGAATAAAAGAACAAGTCAAAAACATGCAGAAATGTTTACAAATTGAATACCTCATATTATATCCAGAATATATAAAGAACTCTCAAAACTCCATAATTTAAAAAAAAAAAAAGCAAACAACCCAATGTTTCTAAATGGGCAAAATATCTGAACACATATCAAGTAAGACATGCAGATGGCAACAGCATATGGAGGAGACACTCAGCATCACCAGTTACTATGGAAATACAAACTAAAGCCAGAGCAAGACGCACACCTATTAAGATGGCTAAAATTTAAAAGACTGACCAAACCACGTGTTACTGAGGATATGGGGGAACTGGAACTTTATACGCTGCTGGTGGGAATGTAAAATGATACAACCACTTTGGAAAACAGTTGACAGTTTCTTAAAAAGTTAAACATACACTTACCCCATGATCCAACAAGTCCACTCCTAGCCATTTGCCCAAGAGAAGTGAAGGTATGTTCATACAAAGACTTGTACACAAACATCCACAGCAGCTTTATTTGTAATAGACAAAACTTGTGGAGATGGTGCAAATGTCCTTCACTAGACGAATGGCTGCACTGTGGTCCAGTCATATGATGGACATTACCCAGCACCACTCAGCAACCACATGGAGGAAGCTCGGAAATAATTATGCTGAGTGAACGAGGCCAAAGAGGACCTACTATATGATTCCATCTATATAAAATCTGAGAAAATGCAAGCTGATCTGGGGTGACAGAAACAGATCAGTGGTTGCCTGGGGATGGCAGGGCGGGGAAGGCTGGGGGGAGTCACAAAGGGGCACAAGGAAACCTTTCAGGGTTGTGTGTATGCACGTCAGCTCAGCAGCCGTGGTGGTTTCACAGATATCTATGTCAAGACTCAGCAAACTGTACACTTCACATATGTGCAGTTATCACATGCCAGTCTTAATTCCATAGATCTGGTTTTTGGAAAAAAAAAAAAAAAACCTGGATTAAAAAAAACACACAAAAACTGTCTCCCAGAAATTGTAAGAAATCACACATATGACATCTTTGATTTTGAGGGGTGACTGGTCCCCTGAAGTTAACCCTGGACTAGACGAAGCAGCCCTGGTCCAAGTCACCTACCTGCTTTCGGGGTCTCAAGGACAAAGGAACCCAGTAAGGCAACGCCGCCTTGACCCTGGGCACCGGCAGGCAGCCCCCGAATTTGGCCTGGCACTCACAGCAGATGGGCTCTCGATGAACAGTGCTGGGGACGGGACACATCTGAGCAAGAGCCAGAAAAGACAGAATTAAACATGCTGCTGTGTCTGCAATGTGAGCCAAGGAACTCTCTGGAATAGACAATGAATGCTTGGAGAGAGCCAGGGTTGAGGCCGGGCGTCCAGGGGCAGGGAACAGGGGCCCCAGCTCCTCCTGCAGCTCAGCAAGAGGCAGGCTACCATGGCTCACTCTCCAGAGTCAGTCAGAGGGGGACCAGCGGGGCCTGCAGACCAGCTGCTAGGACTCCCAGCCACTTCCTGCCGCGTTACCATGGGCAAGTCTGGGGGAGTACAACCGACTGCGGTGGGGAGAGGGTTGCTCTCCTTGGATGTCAATGTGCCATCGGTGCTTTACATTCACAAAGGCTTCCACATCCATCCCGTGATCCTCACCACGCCAACATGCAGGAAGGAGCGGGGAAGTCATCCTCTCCAGGGTCAGGTGAAGAAGCCGATGCCCAGAGCAGGCACATCAGGGGGCACTACTGTTCTCCCAGGCCTCCTGAATCCCTGTGCTGAAGTGTCTTCAGGAGCCAGGGGTGGGGGAGGCAGTGGGTGACCCTACAGAGATACTGGGGGCCGGCTGATGGGCCCTGGAACCACAGACTCCGTGTCTGCCACATCCTCATGAGATGCTGTGGGCCCACCCACCGTCTCCACGTTCCCAAACCCGTGGCCTTATCGGAGTTGGAGCAAAGTTGCTGAGAGCTTGCTTTCCTTACCGACTGATCTACGAGGCTCACTTCTTTCCCAAAGGGTTGAAATGTGCTCTTCCTAGAAAACAAGAACAGGAAGGCTTAGAAAGTTCTGAGCTGTGTGTAAATGGGGGGGGAGCGGCACTGCTGGGTGAGGACCTGGGCCGGCTTCCTCGGAACCGACTCCCGTCACTAAACCCCAGGGAGGGAGGGGGCGTCCTTCGGAGACCAGGGGGGGCGGAGGGGCCGACAACAGAAGCAGGTGGACGCGTGCCCCGGAAGGCCGCGCTTCCCAAACCTACTGGCTTCACCCACTCCCCAGCCAACCTGGTGCTGGGCCCGTCAGGGACCCACAGGAGGGCTCCCACCGGGTGAGAACTTCCCAGCCACACCCGCAGGGCAGCCCGAGCGGACTCGGAACACTCAAGGCAGAGACCGTGGAAACTGCGCGCAAATGGAACGGCCTTCGGGGCCGCCGCTCTGGTTCCTCCGCAGCGCCTGCCCCGCCCCCAGGCACGAGTCGCCACGAGGCCACACGCCGGCCCAGGCGCCCTAAAGGGACCGCGGCGCAGAGCGAGTCCCCCGGCGGCGCGGAGCCTCAGGGCTGGGGGACGCGGGGCCCGTGCTTCCCCGTCGCGGCCCCACGTCAGGTCCCCGGGCCAGGCGGCGGCGGCACGCGGCTGCCACGGGCGCGGGGCCGCCCCGTCGCCGCGCCCGCCCTTCAGACGCGTCCGACGCCCCGGCCCCAGCCCCGAGGCTGGCGCCCGGCTCTCGGCAGAGCGGCCCACGGGTCAGCCCGGCGAGCCTCGTGCTGCGGCTTCGTGCCCGAACTTAGGGCAGGGGCAGATCCCTCTGTTCGGGGCTGTCAGCCCCAGAGGCGCCGGCTCCAGGGGAGCGCAGCTGACGGACGGACGGACGGCCGGCCGGCCCGACCACAGTCCCCAGCGTGGGACCCTCCCCTGACGTTCTCAGGTCGGCAACACTAACTGGCCCTCCGGTGCTTACGTCAGCGTAGGCGTGCCGTCCGCCCTGCCTACGCGCTCCAGCCGCCGCCGGGCCGGGGCGACCGGGGCCCGCGCCCCCCAGGGACGGGGCTGGGGCCGCCCCGGGTGCGGCGTCCGCGGCCCGGCGAGCGGGGCTCCGGGACGCACCTGCCTGCCGCGACGCGCTCGGGGCAGTGCGTGCTGACAGACCCAACGGACACCCGAGGGCCCCCGGAAGTGCCCGCCGCGGCTCCGACAGGGTCGCGGTGCTGGTGGTGGTGGTGACCATCGTGAGGCGGGTGACGACAGCGGGGCCGGCCCCCACGCGTGTGGCTCCGCCCCGAGGCCAGCCCGCGCGCGCGCGCACGCGCACGCCCGCGCGCGCAGGGCCCGCCCATCCGCGGGCCCCACCCCTTCCGTCCGCTGGCCGCCGCCCCTCCGGCCCGACGGTCCCCGCGCGCCGCTGCCGTGCCCGAGCCTCGCCAATCACGCGCTGCCTTCCAGGCACGTGCCCTCATCTGGCGGCCGATTGGCCTCTGGCGGCGTGGGGCCCCGGGGTGGGTGGGCCACAGGGAGGGCTTGCGGCGGAGCCCTCGGCGCGGGGCTCGCTTCCTGGCCGGCAGTCGCGGGCGCCGCGGCGGTGTCTCCGCCCCGCGGCCGGCTGACGGAAGCCGCTCGTTGCCTTTCTCGAGCGCGGACTTAGCTGCGCGCCCGGCTTGTGGGCCCACGCCGTGACTCTCAGAGACGCGTGTCGTCCCCGCGCGCCCTGGGGCCGGGCCGTCGGGGGGCCCCGTCGCGGCCCGAGCCCTGGCCCGCCTGCCGTTGCCCCGCAGGCTCCGAAAGACGCCGGCCGCGCCCGTCCGGGGAGCCGGGGGCCGCGTGCCTCTCGGCGTTCCTGGCGGGACCCAGGCCCCGCCCCGAAGGGTGTCCGTGCGGGCCGTGGTACTCGCGGCTCGTGCCGCGGTGGCCCACACCGGCCGCAGTAACTGGCCCTGGCGGGCGGCACCCCGGTGCGCCGCCTTCTGGCCGCGGCGCTGCCCGGGCCTCCCGGCGCCGAGGCCTGCGCGAGCGTGGCCCCCGCGCCCGCGCCGCCTGGGCCGTGCCCCGGCGTGCTGGCGGCCGCGGACGTGGGACGACCCGCTGCGTGGCTGTGCTGTCATGTCGCCGGCGTCTTACTAGCGAATGACAGAGTCACCCGGGAATCTCCCCACTAACCTAGCATTTCATCTGCCCGCCCGCCTAGGAGCGCGGTCGGCTTTCGCGCCTTCTCCGCTCCTGAGCCCACTGGGACGTGGCTCTGCTGTAAGGGCTCGTGGCCCCTGGACGCTCTGGCCCTCGTGCTGTTCCGGGTCCACGGTCGCTCAGCCCCGCCCCCGGAATGGCTGGAAGGACCAGCAACACCAGGCCCACCGAGGATGCGGCCGCTGGAACCCCCCGTGTTGCTCACGAAGCTGGTAGAACTGCTGGCAAACCACGTGGCACTACTTACAAAACCCAAGCCTGTGAATGAGTACCGTATAACCGAGCTGTTGATGGCCCGGCCATACACCCCAAAGAAACGAGAACTCGGTCCACCAGAAGGCAAGGCAAACCACAGCAAGGTTAACAGCTCCAAACTGGAAGTGACCCAAACGCCCGTTCGTAGCCGGAAAGATGAAAGAAGGAGTTGGTGGCATTTCCAGAGAGAGCAGCACTACATGTGGATGAGCAAGAGCACACAGCAGTGTGGAGAAGCCAGACCCCCAAAGCAGGCCCATGATTCCCTATGAGTGACCCCGAGTGTGCAGAGGAACCAGGTCCTGACCCCAACCCTGGCCCTGCCTCTCCATCACTGTGTGCGTCGGGCAGGTCGCCCCACTTCGCAAGCCTGGGTGCCGTCTGTAAAACACCGATAGCCGCAGACCAATCCACAGGAAGTTTGAGGAGGTCAGATAAGACCGAGCGTGCAGGGGCGCCTGGGTGGCTCAGTCGTTGAGCGTCTGCCTTCGGCTCAGGTCATGATCCCAGGGTCCTGGGATCGAGCCCCGCATCGGGCTCCCTGCTCGGCGGGAGGCCTGCTTCTCCCTCTCCCACTCCCCCTGCTTGTGTTCCCTCTCTTGCTCTGTCTCTCTGTGTCAAATAAATAAAATCTTTAAAAAAAAAAAAAAAGACCGAGCGTGCAGTAAGCCTCCCATGCAGGTCAGCTGTCATTACGTGAGTGTGGCAGATCCTATTTTTTCCCTGCATTTTCCTTGTCCCTCCCTACTTCAGCCAGGGGTTGGCTCACAGCCACTGCCTCAGAGGAGGGAAGTGGGACCAGAGAAGCCTGTGGCTACCAAACGTTGTTTCCAAAGCCCCCAGGTAGGAGGAGGAGGAGCAGAGAGCACTCTGAGTCCTGGAGTCGCGCAGTTGTGCGGTGTGTTCACCGACCAAGGGTCCCCAGCTGAGAACATGAGTAGGGCTTGCATTCAGCCTGCACTGCCCCTGCCCCTGCCCCCGGAGGCCACCTTATATGACCTGCAGGGGAGCACCCTGGGCTAGCAGTGGCTCAGCAGACCAGAGGGGACCATCTGACCTGGCTTGAAGGGGACAGACAAGTGGTGGGCCACTGAGGCAGGCATGGCCAGCACCTGTGCCTCCCCCCAGCCCCCACAGCACTCACATGCTGATGGCTGTCAACTCCTATAACTGCCCGACGACAGGACTCTCCAGACCCTTGTCCGGGGGCAGGCCAAGAGTGCCAGGGACTAATGGCCCTGGGAGTAGCCCTCAGCAGTGACGGGGAAGATGGGTAAGTATCTGAGCTTCTGTGCTGCAGGTGGGACCGCTGTGGGATGTGCTCCACACCACCTCCCAGCATCCCTGCAGGCCTGAGCCCCAGCTGCCCCCACTGCTGTCCCCTTGCTGATGCCCTGTGCACCACCCCTCACTTCCTACCTCCCTCCCCACACCCTATCCCAGTTCATCTCCCCGGTAATAGACTTGCAGATCCTAGCTCAGGGCTGGCTTTTAGGGGAACCCAGCCAAGACCGCCCCTTCTTGCCACCCCTGTGACCGTCACCTACAGCCTGGGGTTCTCTTTCAGAGTGTCATGAAGCCTCGTACCGCCTGCCTGAGACTGGGGCCACCTCTGCCGTCGGAGAGCTGGTGGCAGAGCGGGACTCTCCACAGTCACTCTCGCATGTGGTAAGGGCGGCAGGCTGTGGCAGCATGAGGCCAAGTGAGCGCTAACAAAAGCTTTAAAAACCCAACAAACCCTGGGCAGATGCGGGGAGACCAGCAGAAGGAGGGCAACTGCCGCCTTGCTGGGGCAAGATAAGGGACAAGTCACCAAACAGCCAAAGATGGGGCACAAACGTTCTTCTTCAGTCCCTTGTTCCAGACTGGACTTCCCAATGATTTGAACCCCCTGTAGGAGTGGAAAGAGAAATGGGCCTGTCCTCTACTCCAGATGAGGACCCAACCCCACAGTTAGAAGCAGGGTTTGGGGAGGCCTCTGTGTGACCTGATGGAGCTGGCTGCCAAGACAGAGGGCCCAAAGTGGCAGGTCACCCCTACCCCTGCAGGTGGACAGAGCAAGGGACAGATCATCCTGCAGCAAGGACACTGTCCTCAGGACCATCCCAGCCACCACCATGCTGGCCCTGGGGACCGTGGCTGGAGGACTGTCCTTTCCACATGTCCACGTCCGTATCCTTGAGAACGCTGTTACTGCTAACCCAGAAAAGAACCCAGAAGTTGTGATTTTGTTTTGAGGTTTGTTATTACAGGATAACCTTGCCTGATAGACCCATGACAGGCACAGAGGAGCCCTACAAAGCTAAATCCTGTGGGTTTGGTAAAAACATGATTTAAAAATTTTTTCAAACTTTTTTTTAAAGTAATCTCTGCACCCAACGTGGGGCTCAAACTTACATTCCTGAGATCAAGAGTTGCACGCTCCTGTCCCCCTTTGGGGGCACTTTGAGATCTCTTAGAAGTATCCCTTCCCAGTCCAGTCTGGGTCACGGTCATATCAGGTGCCACCGACTCCTGTGGTGTATTAACGGCCCCCGGGATCGAGGACTCCCTTTTTCACTCTGACTGGGGCCCTGCATATGCGACCGGTCCCCGCTGTGCAAGTCAGCTGTCCCAAACCATTACCTTTCCTTGTGGGACCGCAGGCTCCGTCGTCACCCCTTATTCTCCCCACCTCTCCAACCACAACATTCTAGAACTCTCTCTGTGATGCACTGTGGAACCTGGGCTCCCTTTCCTTCTCCTTCACCATGTCCTGTGCTCTGCCAGGGGATAGGGCACCACCACCATCCTTACTGTCATCAGAGCGCCACGAAAGGGACACAGTCCGAGCCAGACAGCCAGGGACCTGTCCCTGTCTCACCCCAGCACCAAAGACTCACATTCTAGTGCTTTCCATGAGATCCCCAGAGCGTCTTCTAGGAGGGGGGCTCCGTGCCATGGCTCCACGCCATGTCTCCCCATGCCCGTGGTGCCCTGTGGGAGCCTGCCTCCCAATAGAACTGTGGAATGTTAGAAGCAGTGGGGGTGAAGCTCCATGGTGATGAGGGCCGTTCACCCGGGCTCCGCAGCCTCTGTCCCCATCCTGGGTCCGGGAGGGAGCCTGAGGAGAGGACGGGAATTGGGTCTAGGTCCTCACCGGCCTCCTGGGCCCTGGTCCACGGGGGGTGCTCGGCAGCCGCTCTCTGAGAGTCTGCAGGAGGGCTGACCAGCCCATGCACTGCAGGGCTCAGGGCTCCCCTCCTCCCCTCCCCAGGCAGGGGTGGCTGCGTCCGGGCTCCTGTTGTCCACCGAGGAGTCACGGGCTCTGGTGAGGTGAGCCCTGGGGCCAAGCCACTAGCAGGTGGGACCTGAGACCGCATGTGGCCCAGCAGCACAACCCAGACAGGAGTGGAATCACATCTACACCCCAGCTCTCCCGTCTCATTCCCCGAACCCCACATCCAGCTGTGCACGACTCCTCATCCAGACTCTGGTCGCTGCCAGGCCATGCCAGTTCTAATCCGAATCCCCGCAGCAGCCTGGTATAGGGTACCTCCCACCTGCACCTTCCTCACCAGCTGTCCCTTCTCAGCGTGGCCATCAGGGCTCCCGGGGGCTCGCAGTTAGCGCCCCAGGCCTCCCTCGGCCAGAAGGACGCTGTGTCACGTGCACCTATGTGGCTACAAGCACAGATGTGCACTTACAGACCCGCACAAACTCGCACGGCCTACTGGTGGTATTAAAATGTCAGGGGGAGTATGAGGGGAAAGGTCTAGAAAGGCTCCTGGGAGGGAGAGGATAACGAAGAAAAGGCTGAGAGGCGCTGCTCACCGCAGTGCTCTCCTGGAAACCGGACATTCCAAGCAGGCAACGCTACAGGGATGGAGGCGGAGCAGGGGCTGCGGGTGGGGTGCTGACGGCGCAGGGCAGCACCAGGGAATGGAAGCTCCGGACCCCAACCGTGACTCTTGACGGGGCTGTGTGCACACCCATGAAACACGTGCACATACTGAACGGTCCCACGAATTGTAACACAGAAACCAACCGAGATAAAAAAGGACAGCTCAACCATTTCTCACTAAAGAGCGAGGCAGACACCCGATAGTTGAAAGTCACGTTCCTCTGCATCCTCTTCCCAACAGATGCTGGAAAAGGAGATGCGTGTTACGCAGCACGGAGGACAGCCACGGACGGGCCGCCACGCGGCAGCATCAGAACCCTGTGGGGGGTTTCGGAAGCTACGAGTGCTCGGACCCTCTCCCCAGCGGCCGTGGCTCAGCACCCCAGGGCTGGGCAGGCATCTCCCTCTCCCACTCAGCCACCCCACAGGGAGCCAGCCCATCGGTCCAAGTGGCTGGCAGCACGACTTGTAACACACGGTCCACACCTCCTCCCGACCCCCAGGCACCGGGGCAAGTGTGCTGGGGAAGGCAGCGCTGGACCTGGGAGGAGCCAAAACCCTGGAGCACCAGAGAGATCCAGCTCCTGGGCCCCTGCTGAGGTTCTGGGAGTGATGTCCCTCCTGGGCTGAGGGAGATGGGTGAGGACACAGCACCCACCCACTGCCCTGGCTCTGCAGATGCTGGGCCAGGCATCGCCCAAGCTAGGCACCACAGGTCCAAGTGCGCCCACGTCCACGTTGGCCTTGACCCCTCACTGCACTGGGGATAGACCATTCCACACCCTAATAGGGTGCCCCCGAGTGTCCAAAGGAGGCCCCTAGGCCCATTTGGGGGACATTTCATGCTGTGACCTCTGCAGGGCAGAGACCCCACTGCTGGTTCACTGCTGTGTCCGCAACGGGCAGCACCATGTTTGGGGCATGGAGGTGCGGGTACTGACCCAGTGGTTCTCCACAAGGTGACGACCCACAGGGGACACTGGCCATGTCAGCAGACATTTTGGGTTGCCATGACAGAGGAGACCAGGAATGTTGCTCAGTGCCCTACCACATGCGATGGCCCCAAACATGGAGACTCAATGCCCAAGAGAGAAGGCTCCACACAAGCAGCTGGGGTTGGGGACTGAGCAGCGCCAGGCGTTGCTGTGGGCTGCTCAGCAGCCCTGGGTCTGCGGCTGGACCTGGGCCAAGGCGTGTGCCCACAGTGGGAGAGCAGGACCATCTGGGGAGGGAATGCTGGGTCACTTCTCAGGCCTCCCTCTAGCGCTCCCCACATATGTCCTAGCAGTCCACGACCTCCTTCCCTCTTGTCTGCTCCCAAAGAAGCACCTGTTCATCCCAGGACTGGGCATCTACAGAAGGGCCAGTGGGGGGTGGGAAGGGACTGTAGGTGCCACCCTCAACGTGAGCAGAGCAACTATTCCCTGCAGCCGTATGTTTCCAAAAACCAGGTGCTGGGAAGGCAGCCTTCCAGCACTGCTAGATTTTCAGTTCGTGCTGGCTGGGGTCCCATGTGCATGCAGCGACCCTAAATCCCCACCAGAGGCCAGACTACAGAAAGTCCCATGAGGGGGCCCAGGGGGATGCAGGGCGCACTGGGAGCTTGGCCAGGGCCCTGCCAGCACAGCCTCCCATGGGGGAAGGACTAGGCAGCCTTCTTCCAGGGGGGCTGCGGGGCTAAGCCACCGCTCAGAGGAGGGAAATCCTCCCGCCCCTGAACAGGAACATGAGGTACTTTTACTTCCTATATTAAATTCTTGCACTTTTTAACAAGAAAATTACCTTTACAAACAAAAAACTCAGAAATGAGACCCTCAGCTGTGTGCCCACCACAGAGCCTGGCCCCTGCCCTCATCTACCCCGTTCTTATCCTGTTCTCAGAAAAGGCAAACTCCCCTTGAATTTAGCCTGAGAAAATCCCACTGTGGCCCCAGCTTCCTCAGGGCCACTGGGTCGGTGATGGGGACACCTATCAAGCCGAGGTCAGAGGGAGGGATCCAGGGACCTAGCATTGTCTGGGTTCCCAGGGATCACTTACCGCTTCATTGCACAACCGGGAAAATCAAAATGTTGTCAGGTCCAGGTGTGAGAGGCTCCCAGGGGGGCCCCCCACCCCGCCAGGATCCAGTCCCGTCCTTTGGCCGCCAGCGCCCCCCACCTCACGTTGCTCATGGCTCCGGCCTCCATCTAAATCACATCCCCCAAAAAACAATTACAAAGCACACAACAACGTTTCAAAAACTGATTTATGGAGAAACAGCCCCACAGGGTGGTCCCATCCCGGTGACAACACTGGGCGCAGGCTCAAAGCAGCCACTTCCTCGGGTCCTGGCCCTGCCACGGGGGCATCACCCCCGCTCCAGCCCACCCCGCACCACAGCAGACGCCCGAGAGGGACAGTACCTTCCCCCACCTCACCTGTCGGCTGTCAGGGCGTGGGATTTCAGTATCAAGCAGCAGAAACGGGTTTCTTCTCCACGTAGGCTACGTGATCTCAAAGAACAACCGAAAGTAAAATTAGGCTGAAAAAGTAAAGGTTCTGACCCCTTCCTGTGTTTTGGCGGGTCTCCCTGTGAGCACAGAAAGGGCCCAGAAGAGAGGATGTCTTCCAAGCCTCAGAGGCACCGCCGGTCACCCACGCCTCCTGAAGGCCAGCCTGCAGGCCGCCAAGCTGTAAATGACACAGAGCACTCGGTAATTTGGCACCGTCTTGTTCCCATTCGCAGCTGCAGGCTAACCGACGGCACCATGGCTTATTCCGACTCTCTAAACACTTCCGAGGATGTATAGTCAGATGACGTCCCAGACCTCCCAAAAGTAGGAACAGGAGGTCAGCCTACGTTACCTCTGGAACCGGCCAAGGACTGGGGTGCACGAGCCGCAAGCCAGGGAGGGCTGTCTGAGAACTCTCCCGTAAGCATTCCTGAAAGTTAGAGCACAAAGACAGAGGCAGAACGAGGGCTTCTGACAGAACAGGGCAGCCTCCTCAAAGCACCGGGTCTGCGCGGGGAGCTCAGAAATCCCAGGACCCCTGTGGCCGAGTTCGCCACGCCAGGGGGCCGAGCAGGGGGCCGAGCAGGGTCCTCTCCGTCTCGTGAGCACTGGAGCAGTGTGAGCTACACGGGCCACCCACAAACCGAGCACCAGCCCTGAACCGCTGCAGCTGGTGTGGGGCACGGGGGTGGGCTGTCTAAGGGACGGGCCTTGCCTGACCGGGCCACAGCAGCAAACCCCAGGTTCTCAGGGAGAGAGGACGTCGGACGGGCCAACTCCAGCTCGGAGCTTGTTCTGCATGAAGCGGGGACGGAGGCCTGGCCTGCTCCTTGAGCGAGCCCACTGTGGGAGTGCTGCCACCCTCCGCCTTGGCCAAGAGGAACGCCAGGTACAGGCGCCCAGCCTAAGCTGCTTGGGTTGGGGCACGAGGTGAGAGAGGGAGGGCGGGAGGGTGCAGCCCTCAACACCAGCCACAGTGAGCCAGCTGCCCAGATGGAGGGACGGAGGGGCGAGGCCTGGGCGGGAGGCCCAGTCTGGCCTGCGGGAGGAAGGATTCTGGAACTCCCACCACCACGAGGCCTCCAAACCTGCTCCCACCCAGCAGCAGACACTGCACGTCTGAGCTGCGTGGGCCAACATAACCAGATAGACCGCCAGGCCTGAGTGGCCAATCGCAACAGCCTCCTGCACTGAACATTCAGCCCCAGTACGTAAGAACCTCCAAGGACTCCCATCTGAAATCTCCAATCGCGGCTCTTCCCATCAAGCAGCAGAACAGCACATGCCCAGGGAGGCAGACATGCACCTGAGGCTCCTCTCCTGCCACTCACACCACGACAGACTCACCCGACCTCACGGTAGCACAGTGGCAAGTAAGGGGGTGCCAACCAGGGGAAGATGGCCACACCGACCCAGGTCCACCGCCACCTTCCCCGAATCATGCAGCACGTGGGCACAGACCGTCCCTAAGTTGGGTCATTCAGGTTCCTTGTGGGGACCTGTGTTATCAAACCGCCAGCTGCCCTCAGGCTTCCAACCACAACCTCAGCCTTTCTGAATCCTCCCCTGCAATGAATTACCGGCTGGAAGCTGCCAGGATGGGCTAGTTGCCCGCTCTGCCCTCAGGCACGCCCCCTGGGGCTGGCTTGCACAGCCTCTGCACACTCGCCTACTGAACTGGAAACCAAAACTGGCCACAGTTCCACTAAGTGGGAAATAAGACGTATGCTGGCTGCCCGGCTGTGCAGATGACAAGCCCCCACCCAGACCACTGCCGAGCCGTTCGGCCCCACAGGTCCCCGGGGTACCGCCTGATGCCAGAGCCAGGGACCCACGTGAACACAGCCAACAGCCACGGCTCGCAGGAACCATGGAGAGACCCACACTCCACAGGCAGGTTCCACCGTCTGGGTTCGAGACCGGTTTTTCATCAGAAAGGCTCATCTTCAATCTGAGTGGGCTGTACAGACAACGGGGGGCCTCGGGCGGAGCGACCTTAGAGTGAGCCTCAGGCTCGGGCGAAACGTGGCGCACGGCAGCCGCACGCCCCGCGGGCCTTCACTCCGTTCTCACCGAGGCTTCCCGGCCGCGGCTACCACCATGCAGGAGCAGCATGCCTGGCACAGGACACACAGTGATGGCCACAAGGGGGTGGGGGTGACAGCGCTTGGAGGCTCGGTCCTGCGGAAGACACGAAAACCGGGACCGCGCCTCAGGGCCTACTAGAAGGATGTGGGAGGTAGCCATGGTGTGTCCAACAGCCAGCCGGACGGGACCCCACCTTCTTGGCTTGCCTCCTTCCCAAGTCGGGAGCTGGGAAGAACCTCCTAGAAGGTCTGCCTTTTAGGGACCATGCCCCAGAGCTTATCAATTCTACAATTCTGGGAAGCAAAGGAAGATCAAAGTTGCCAAAGGTACTGAAGCTAGAGCAATAGGGATTTTTTATTTTTTAAAAAAAGGCCAGTCAGGGAGAAATTCATCAAGAAAACATGTTTCATGGGACATCTCACGTTGGTCTCTACATGAAGGCACCACGAAGCTGCCCCCTTCCCTGGGGTCCCTTGCCCCCGGCATGAGGGCTCAGCACAGTCCACCCAGCAAGGGCGAGCAACAGGGAGGGGGACCGTTGGCCTGCCTCCCCAGTGAAGCCGCCCGCCCCACAGGAGGTGAACGTGGTGACCGCTCTCTGCAGGCTGGAGGCAGAGCTGCAGCTAATTCTTGGGGGTGTACGTGCATTTGGGGCTCTGTTCTTCAGGAGACACTAGATCAGCAGAGACCTTACAGTGGGTCCCCAAATGCAGGCGTCTCTGGGACACCGGCACAGCACCCACAGAAGCATCTGTGCTCAGACCCCTGCCGTGGAGGATCCCAAGGGACCCTGGTCTCCAAAGTGCATTCCATCCATGGGGGTGACTTCTAGAAAGCTGCCCTGTTCCCCGCAAAGGGGCTCCAAGGTCATCTGTGCCACCACTCTGCTGCTTACACCCTCCCAAGAACAACACCTGTGCACGCTACGCAAGTGGGGGAACGCAGGGCTGTTCGGATGCGGCCCTGCCCAATTCTGGGGCAGGTTCTGAGACCAGAGCGTGGGCAGGAGGTGGGTTGGGGGTGCAAACAAACGGCCTGTGTGGAACTGGATGCAGCAAAGGTCTTGATTCTAAAGCTGGACAGAGGCCAGGGCTGCCAAGCCGCCGTTCCCTCCCGGCCCGCATCGCTGACCCCCTGCACTGATGCACAAACGTGTCAGAGGGGAAATGCTTTTGTCCAAACTCCAAGCAGGTTAGCGGAGAAACGGCACTTCAGTCCAGGGTCCTGGCCCAGCATCCTGGACCCCCCCGGGCCTCCGTTTGTGCACACACTGCCCCACACCCAGGCTGCCCTCGCCCCAGGCCCCTGCCAGCCTGCAGCCGCTTCCACTCGCCTCCAGCTGGCACGGCCCACACACAATCCCTCTTAGGAGCCCCCAGGGTCGCTCAGCCTGTCCCTTGAAAACCACCAGCAGGCCAAGGACAAACCCAATTTCTCCACTTGAGTTGTTCACAAAACTCTGCAGCCAACCCTCTCAATCAGTCCCGTTCTGGTTCTTTCTTTCTTTCTTTCTTTTTGTAAGACGTGCTCAGTCAGCCTTCCCACGAGCTCCTAACGAGGACACACACAAACGTCACACACTCTGTACAAAGAGTCTTGGGGTGGCTGGGCCGAGACTCCTACAAGGTGGGTGTTCTGGTCAGAAGGCCGAATCTCCAAAGTGCATGCTGCTTCCTTTCCCAGGTGCCAGGTCCAGGGCCCCGGGAGCTGCCCCGCAAGAAAGTGGCCCGTCAGGAGGTCAGGGACTGGATGTTCTTGAGCATCTCCTCGAAGGCCTGTGGGGATGGTGCCTCTGCATTCCGGAAGGTGGCCTGCACCCTGCTGTACAGGCTGAAGGATTTCAGCTCCAGCCAGATGAACCCGAAACGGTCCTCGTCGAATAGGATGAAGACCCCAGGGGTGCGCTCAGGGCTGGTGAAGCCATGGCCGGCGATGAGGCCTGTGCCGTAAAAACTGTGCGAAGACAAGAGGGAAAGCGCAGGGAGGACAGTGAGAGGGGCCAGAAGGAGCGCGCTGGGCCCCGTCCCACCCCATCAGCCCCCTGCTGCAGCACCCCCACACCACAGGCCAGCCCTCCTCCCTGCCAGCAGGAAGCAGCAAGTCACGGCACCTGAGAGAGGCCATCACCTGGACCACCAAGCAACTCTTAAGTGCCCAGTGCGCAGAGCCGCGGGCCCACGGTCAGGCTCACCCTGCTGACCGCCGCTCTCCACCAGCTCATCCAGCTAAAGAAAGAGGGTCTCGGGCAGCCCCACCGCGTAATTCTGTCCCGAAGTACACCTTCATAAAGCTGGCTCAGGTAACCAAAATCTGAATTCCCAGGACAGTTATGTCAGTACGTGAACAACTCAAATATAATCAATAAAGACTTATTGGCACCCAACCGTCGTGAGCTCAGAAGGCAGAACTTTCAAATACCCGTAAAGGCTAAGTTTCAAGTTTTGAGAGCAATGTGAGACTGAGATGCATTTACGTCTTTCTTGCCAAGAAATTGGTGCTCATATAGATAATGAGGAGCCGCGGGCTGGCCTGATCTCCCAGCACACAGAACGGCGCCCGGCACCCGGCCCTCCATCCACCACGCCGAGGCTCCCCTGGGCAGGAGGGGGAGAGCAGGCCTATGCATGAGGGCGAGCGGTTCGTGGGATTCTCAGGTGGGGAAATTGGCCCCAGAACCCACAGGGAGGCAAAGTGATGCCCACCGAGCTTAGTACCAGAGGCAGCCATGTTCTGCACCCTCACTGGGGCAAGGCCTCGCAGACACACAAACCAAACAGGGAAGGGACCACAGCACGCCCCTCCCAGGTCACAGAGACTGATGTGCGGCACGTCCCATGCCTCCACTGCAGGGCTGGCCTGAGAGCGCCCGACTGAGCCCACTGGGCTCTCGGCTAGCCACAAGACACTGCGGGCTGTCGAGTTTCATAAGGACGACAGAGCCCTTCTCTCTTACGACCACTAAAAAGCTCACAACAGTTGAAATCATACTGGAACACCATTTGTATATCTCCTCTCAGGAAACCCGCATTCAGCCACTTTTGTGATAATGGTGTAACATAAAGGAAAATGGAATGGATTTCCCCTACGTGAGATAAAAGAAGAATACGTGCATTGATCTCTGCCCCGGTGCCTGGCACAGGGCTCCTGAAACCCTGGTAAATTCCTAAGGGATAAGAACACTAGCAGGTAACCAGCCAGGAACAGAAGCTTGGAATCCTGAGTGGCCCCGCCATTCTCCAGATGAGAGAGGAGCTGGAAATGGAGCTAATGATGGACCATGCCTCTGTGAGGAAGCCTCCATAATACCCCGAAGTATGGGGTTCAGGGGGCCCCCAGGTGGGGGACACCCATGTACATTCCACTTCCCAGGGGCTGGAAGCTAGTGCGCTCAGGACCCTACACCTTTCTTCATGTGGCTGCCCACCTGCGTCCTTTCTCACTCCTTCAACAAAATGGTAAACGTAGTGTCTCCCTAAGTTCTGGGAGCTGCCCCAGCCCATTAATCGAACCCGAGGAGGAGGTCGTGGGAACCCCCGACCTATAGCTGGTCGGTCAGAAGCACGCTTGGGACTGGTGTCTAAGAGGACAGAGGCAGTCTTGCCGGGTCTGACGCCGTCTCGGGGCGGGGGGGGGTGTCAGGACTGAGTCCAGTGGCCGGACACCAAGCCGGTGTCGTGGAGGACTGCGTGCTGGTGTGGGGGGCACCACCCCAACGGGCACTCGGTACTCAGAACCAGTTTACCCACCAAGCCCACACACACACCTAAAGCCTCCCTCGGGAGCTCAGAGCCCCGCCCACATTTCTTCTACGCGTGAAGTGCCAATCAGACGGCCGTCACCGGCCCAAGACAGCAGTCAGCCCGGAAGTCAAGGAAAAGAGACCTTTCCACGCAACTGGACAGACATGCAGGCCAGGCAGCTGTGATGCCGAGAGACAGGTCATCCCCTCAAAGGTCCCCTAGGACAACTGTGCAGGAGAACCAACTGCACTGACGGAATATTCCAGACCCACACTGTGCAATACACGTGTGCTGCTGGCACCGGAAATGCGGCCAGTGGGACGGAAGACCCAAGTCTGTGGCTTCATTCATTCTGGTTCACCGACACCTAAGAAGCCCTGAAGTGTAGCGGGCTGGGGCGGGGGGGCCTGAGTGGCTGAGGGCAGTGACCCGAGACAAAGCCGTAAGGACAGCCGTCAAGCAAAGAGCAAGCCGGCCCTGGGGCAGGAGTGCGCTGCCAGCCCTCTGCGCACACTTTCTGAGCCGGCAGAGAAACCACAGGAAGACACAGACGCTGACGCTGGATGGTGCTCAGCAGGGGCCGGAGGGAGACCCCCAACAGGCCTTACCTACAAGGACAACCAGGTGGACTCAAGCCGGCTTCTAGGGGGACAAAGGCGGAAGAGCCCCCTCCTTACCAGCTGCTTTCAACGCCACCTGCAGAGTCACCTGTCTACCCTGCACCTGACTGGCGAGGTGACAGAAGGCACTAGGAAGGGGGCCTCATGCCTGGCGGTTCTAATAAGCCCCCTCGGAGGCTCCCCAGGGCGGGGGGGGTCGGGAGCCTCCAAACTCCGTGCAGCCCAGGGAAGGGCGCTGTCCGCACGAGCCCAAGCTGGGACTCAGACGGAGTTGTCAGGGGCTCCCCGCCGGGTGCAGGGAGCCCCCACACTGGCCGGCGCTGAGCCCGGCCCCCACAGCCCGTCTCCACGCAGGTGGGGAGGCAGGACTCCCCAGAAGGCCTGTCGCGGCCCACGCTGGCATTCTTACCACATCCTGCAGGTGCGGGGATAGTCCTCGTTCCTCGAGCTCACGCCCACAGGCAACACAAACGGCTGCCCCTGCCCGCACTGGGCGGGCTGCTCAGGGGCAGGCGCAGCCGCAGCCGCAGCCTCTCCGTCCCCAGGCTCCCCGACCTTCTCGGCAGGCATTTCCACACTGGGCTGGGCAGAGCCCCGCTGGGGCTCCCGGGGGCTCTGCCGGCCGCGGCCCCCACCGTCCTCGAGCCCGTTCTCCTGCTGCTGTTGTTCCTGGCGCACCTGCTCCCGAACCTCCAGGACGATGCGGGAGAGCTCATTGAAGTTGCGGAGGCTCTCCACATCAGGCAGCTGGATGCGGTGCATGAGGTCGACCTCGACAGTCTGCTGCCCAGCAGGGATGTTGGGGTCACCCTGAGGAGCGAGCATGCGGCCATCAGCAAAGACACACCACTCTGTGTGGTTTCCTGCCTAGATCACACCTCTGGCCCAATCAGCTCACTCCAGCATTCCCACTGACTTAGCAGCATCCCTTCTGAAGAATATTTTAGAAGCCCTTAAAAAATATGTGCCTACAGCAGGCACCCCCATCTGTGAAGGGATCCTCGAAAATAGGGGCTAACAGCACCTGAGTGACCTCGACACATGCACAGACACCCGGCATAGTGGCTCATGTGCACTTGAGCCCTCCAGGTATAAAAACCTCCCCATTCTAGAACACTGGGGCTTCGAGAAGGGCACAGACCCTCCCAGAGCCAAGCGGCAGAGCCAGACCTGAATGCCAGCCCAAACCTGTCTGCCTGGAACACAAACGCTCCTGACCCTGAACCTGGGAGACCCTCCAGGCCCTGCAGCTCCACCAGGGGCCCCAGTGCTGGGCTCTGCACACAAGGAGCCTTCCCAGAGCATAGGGACCCTGGTCAATCGAGGTCCAAGAGTACAGCTCCATGAGAACAAAGAAGAGGCACTGTTCCCCAGGACACTTCAGTGCATCTGGCAGAAACACACCCCAACTATGCAAATGACCAGTGAGCACAGTGTGGACGGTGCCCCTGCAGCAGGCCCAATGGCCAACTGGTTCAAGACCCCCATTCAGCTCAACAACCCTCGGACTGTGTTCCTCAGCTGCTGAGGCCAGGATGGCATCGGGAGCCTGTGTAATAATGCAGGAGGTCTCCGCACCTCACAGCCACCGAGGACCTCCTGGAGCCACATACCCAGGCCCCTGCCCCACTGAATCAGCATCTCTAAGGCCCAGCATCAGGGTTTCTCCAACAGCCCCAGGGGTTCAGTGTGTGGCCAGGACTGAGAGCCATGGGTAAAGCCACCTTGGAAAGGCTCCAAATCCCCTGGAGGTCTTGTGAAATACAAATCCTAGTTCAATGGGTCTGGGTGGGGCCTGACAGTCTGCATTCCCAGCAAACTCCCCAGCGCAGGGGCGCCACAGGCCCAGAGTCCACTGTGAGTAGCTGGGGTGCAGCCCGAGTCAGGCTACCACACAGCCAATCAGACTGAGCTCACAGAGCGGGGCCCGCCAGGGTAGCACCCGGACTCACCGTGATCTTCGTGCCCCTGGCACGCTTCCCATGGAAGCTGAGCATGACGATCTCCAGGCCGTGGCTGCCGTAGGTGCCTTTGAAGAGGCCGGGTCTGATGAGGTCATCCGGGTGGCTGGGCGGGAGGTAGATGCGGCGGTAGGTCAGGCAGTTGCTGTGGGGGGAAGGGGCGGCATGAGAGCAGCTCGGCGGACAGGCCAAAGTACAGAGCTCACTCACCTCCCTGCCGTGTGAGGGATGGCAGACAGGGCAGGGTAGCCTAGAACAGCTGGGCTGAGCTTCCTGCCAGGCCAGCGGGGGGCGGGGGCACCCCACATTCCTGAGCCACAATCACCCCTCCTCAAAACACTTGCAAGGCACATCTCACACCTTCTCTGGAATTCCAACAGGGCTGAACAGGGGCGCACGTTCGCTCTACCAGCACCACAAGGGAACTGGGGCAGGGAGCACTCTCCAAAGACAAGGGGATGCTGCCCCTGCTCCGTCACCCTGGCACAGGAACCCCAGAGACTGCGAAAGGGATGCTCACTGCACAAGGGACTATTTAAATGTGTCATGGGGACAGGGCGTGGGGCGGAGGCCAAGGCAGGAAGAGCAGCTAAGAGAGGAAGTGTCCCCTGGCAGATGTGGGGATACCACCCTGAGGCTCCAGCACACAGGCCAGGCTCGTGATGATAAATCAGACAGAAAATAGACACCGAGGTAGGGCAGCAGGGGGGGCAGGGACAGAGGAGGGACAGAGACTGTGCTCACAGTACCCACAGAGGGGACTGCACTTACTCGTACTGACTGGTGTAGATAAACTTCATCAGGATGAGCTCCTGCATGTGCTCGTGGAAAATGTCCTCCAGTGTCCGCCCCCATTCTTCCCTCAGCCACGTTCGGAATTCCTTCCAAGAGAGCACAGGTCATGAAAACTACCACGACGCGCATGGAGGACTGCTCGCTGTGGCGCTAAGTGGATAAAAGCAGCACTCTTGGGGCACCCGGGTGGCTCAGTCAGTTAAGCGTCTGCCTTCGGCTCAGGTCCTGATGGTCCTGGGATCGAGTCCCGCATCGGGCTCCCTGCTCAGTGGGGAGTCTCCTTCTCTCTCTCTCTCTCCCTCTGCCTGCCTCTCTGCCTACTTGTGCTCTCTCTCCATCAAAATAAATAAATAAAATCTTTAAAAAAATTTTTAAAAAGCAGCACTCTTACAGCTGGGGTGATGCCCTAGGCACAGCAGTTCTGGAGTCCCAGCGGGGTGGACAAGATGGAGATGAAGACTGGGCAAGAGGAGGGGGCTGCCATACTTTGGTCTCCGAGTCCCTGACCTCCTTCCTGTGAAGCTCAGCCACCAAAGGAAAGTAAAGGGCTCTGGTCCCCACTTTCCCAGAGCACACAGGCACAGACTTCAACATGCAACAACAGGGACCGTGGGGTCCCTTCAGCCTGTGTCCAGAGCTCCCTAGGTAGCAGCCACATGAGCCTCACTTCTGTGGCCACCAACGGGACATGCGGTGTCTACACCGAGCCTGGTTCTGGGGCTTCTAGGAAAGCAGGAGCACAGCAGGACTCCTGTGGCTAACTCCTGTGCTGGTCACGTTGGCCAGAACTGCCTTCTGCTACTGCCGAAGAAGAACAAGACAGGTATGGCCGGGAGGGGGGCTGGGGCAGGGAGGTGCCCTCATAGTTATGTTACAAGTTCAGAAAGTTCATTTGTGAAAAGGGAGCTTTTATAAACACTGCGTCCTCAAAGCTCAGTCATTCATTATGGGATCAAACAATGTGAAGGACAGTTAGTGCTTAATAGCTTGATTCTGCACATTTAACCAAATTAATCCATCGCTCTGAGTTCCTAGCTCAATATACTGTTTCTAATGACCATGCAGAGTTAGTTCTACAAACAGAAACAAAAGCAATTTAACCACAACAACAAACCAAGAGAGCTATAATCTTTCAGTTGCTTTCCTATGTTCCCGCCCAAACTCTGGCCATGCACAGAAACCCCTCACTGCAGTGACAAGCACACAGCTACAAGGCCACAAGCTCATTACGCACAAATCAACTGGAAGTTTCTACACCAGCGGCACGGAGTTGGAAAATGAAAAATTTTAAGTCCTATTTCTAGCAGCCTCAGACAACATGTGACTTGGGAATACGTATTAGAAAGTGCGTGCAGGACCCCTACTCTGACAGCCACAGGACTGCCGGAAGGAAACGGAGACACCTCCATGATACAGGCGCCCGTGGACCAGAGGACCCAAGTACCAAGCCAGCAATTCTCTCCAAAGGCATCTATGGATCCAATGCCATGGCAGTCCCAGTCCCACCAGTGTCTCTGTACAAACCGGTAAGCCGATTCTGAAATTCACGTGAAGCTGGAAAGGACCAACAATGTCCAAAGCAATCTTGCAAAAGAACAGGGCTGGAGGAACTGCACCAGTTCATGGTGTGACTTACTATAAAGCTGCAGTAATCAAGACAGTAGTACAAACATCGGGGTCAACAAATACACCACCGGAATGAAACAGAGAGCCCAGAAACAGACCCATTCATCTAGTCAGCTGCTTTCCGACAAATACATCCAATCCACCCAATGGGAAGTGGAAAGTCTCTTCCACAAATGATGCTCCAACGACTGGACATCCATATGGAGAAAAGGACCACGATCCCTGCCTCACACCACACACAAGAAATAATTCGAGATGGGCCACAGACCCAAAAACAACGTGAAGCTACCAAACTTCTGAAGAGGAGACTCTGCAGCTTAGGGATAGGCAAAGTCTTTTAAGACACAGACAACAATAATCACAAAAGAAAAAACTTGACAAATTAGACTTCACCTCAAAACCTTCCACTTCAATGGAGTAAGACCCTAAAAAATCAAACAGATAACGAAGAGATAAAAATGGAAGTGAGCTAATGTAACAAGTAGGGATTTTATGTTACCACGGTGAGTAATCAGACTTAAGCTAAATACCATGAGGCTGACTCGTAAGGAGTCATAATCTTATTTACTTTGCATGAAAAGGTCAGAGTCGTTAGAAATACCAACCAGACCCAATTACTCAGAACAAACACCTTTGAGATACGTTCATTATGAAATTATCTCATGAGCTATGCATACACAAGGAGAAACACAGGGGACCAGAACATACACGACAAGAATAGTATTTACCCAGGGCTTGCTCACAGGTGCTGGCATTCTATGATCATCGCCTCCATCTGCACACCAGTCCAGGAGAAGGGTGCTCACACCCTTCCTGTTCTACGGAGATGTGGGCTCACAGAGTTTGAGAAACCTTCCCCAAGTCACCCAGCTAGTAAGCAGCAGGATCAGAGCTACTCCTGAGCCCACGTGCTAAGGGGCCTGGTTTCCACCCGGGCCAAGAGGAAGGCCGGCAGGAGCAAAGGAGGCAGGGGGCTCACCCACCCTGGTGGGTGGTAAATGAGGACCAGCAAACTAACAACACATAACAAGAATCTGGAACAGGGCCTTTTACCTGGCAATCCCATTTCTGTATGATCCAAAAACCAGGGAAAGTTTTTGCACAGAGTTCCGGCAGTAACACCTGGAGGCTCTCAGCCTGGCGCTAAGGCACTCACACGCCCTGCCCTACTCAGTCCTCCAACCCCCGCAGGGGTCCACATTTCACAGATGAGGACTGAGGCTCTCAGAGAACAAGTCACCCAAGCGGAAGGTCAGGAGGGGGAGCACAAACCCCATGTCTGACCGCAGGTGAGCAGTTACGCTCAGGCAATCACCCTATGGATGACGGATGGAACAGTGCTTTAAAAATAAAGATTAAAAGAATTCTAATGAGCCTGGAAAATATTTCTGGAAGAGCTAAAAAGCTTAAAAAAAAAAAAAAGACCCAAATTAGATGGAGTTAGATCCCAGTTACATAAACAAAATTCAGAGAACAAGAAGGGATGACGGAGGACGGGTGTGGGGGCTGCTCCTGGGTGGGGCTCCCACAACTGCGTGTTTGATGGTGAGAAGATATCATTTCAGTACATGAGACAAAGAAACAAAAGCAACTTGTGTCCAGTCAAGAAGTCTGCATGACCAAGTGCAGAGCACACCCTAAGTGGGGCCAGCAGAAGCCCATGGCCTGGTCAGGAGGGACAAGGGACGCCCACAGCATCGCAGTGGTGGGGCCTGGCCGTCCTCTCTCCTTCCTCTCTTCCCTGTCTCTGCTCCTCCTCATAGGCCCCAGTTCTCCAGAAGCCTCAGGCTGGGGGGCTGGACAGGCACGGGGCGGGCAGGGAAGATGGCAGCTGGGCCTTGCCATCATCTGTGAAGGAGGCCAGGGGAGACGAGTCTGGGTAGGCCTGAGGGCCTGCCCTGCTCACAGGAACCCAGGAGAGGGGCTGCAGTGTGCAAAGCACACAGGTCACCCGGAGGCATTGTGAGGGGCAGGCTGAGGCCACCGCAGCCTGAGACATCAGATTACACCACGGCAGTCTGGACTTGGCATTCAAAGGTGGACATGCGGCAGAAACCCCGGGACCGGAGCTGGGTGTGAGCAGTGGAAGGGCTGGTGAGCAAGATGCAATGCATCAGCCAGACACCTGCAGGGCGGCTGTGGCCTTCACAGGGGAATGACGGGAGACTCACTGGTTCCTTCATGGGCAGCACTTCTCAGAGAGCACGGCCTGCAGAGGGGGACCGCCAGGGCATCCCCCACAAGCTCTCAGAATGCCACACAGGGTGGAGGACAGTGAAGCACCAGGCCAGCCCCTGGGGGCATGAGAGGATCCCCTGCCCAGGAGACCGTGCGCCGCCCTGTTCCCCTGCTAGCCCTGTTGGCCGCCAGGAGCCCTCCGTCCCCTGTGGTCCCAGAATTTTAAATGCCCATCAGCTACCAGAGCACAGGACAACCAGAGTGCACAGCTCAGCCTTTCACCTCGGTGTGCAGAGCTATCAGGAACATGGCAATGTCCCCCCGCAGCCTGTCCTCTCTCCCTGGGGCCTGAAGCCATTCCCCTGAGTCTGAAAGACTCCACGAGAAAGTGAAGACATTTCTGGCTGACTCCTGAACCGGCAGGAGACCCTGTCCCCACACGGCTGAGGGGACAGACAGGGGATGGACAGACAGAAAAGCAGGTGAGAGAGGGACAAGTGACTGCGGGGCCACACAGCAAGTTCTCCAGAACTCTGCTCTGCCCGGTGGCACCGCGTCTCCCCGATGGGCTCGGCAGGGGAAGACAGACACCTCTGACTACATAAAAATTAAAAACAAGAAAACTCCTGGAAAGAAAATATACCATAAATCAAATAAAAGACAAAAACATGAGGAAAAATACTTGCAACCCCACCTGAAAGACTGATTTTCTAATATGAGAAAAAAGCTCCTACAAATCAACTAGAAACACACCAGCACCAGAGAGAGCAGCGAGGATGTTTACTAACAAACATGTCACAGAAAAGCAGCCCCGGGGAGCCCTTAGCCAGGCCCCTAACCTCAGCCTCGGCACGGTCCTCGGTCGTGGTCACGGAAATGCAAACTGACGCCCCAGTCCCGAGACCAGCAAAGCTTTACTCCCACCCAGCGTGCACGTGTTCTTAGAGTTTCCACAAAGGACTTGTGTTAGTACTTTCATCATCAGAAAAAAGACCACTCCACTTCAAAATCACACAGACGCGGCTTACAAGACCTTTTTCTGATCCCAGCATACGTATTTCCAGAAATTCACTATCTGGCCTTTTTAAGGTTCACAGCTGAGGAGTTTCTATTCTCAGAAAACACACTGACCTTTTTCACTGAAACGCAGCCTGGAGCACTCACCTGTACGTTGTGTGTGTGACTGTGTGTGCCCAGGCTTCGACAACGGTGTTGTGAATGCAAAATGCACCGTCACCTTCACAGGCCGTGTGTGTGAGAAAACAGGGCCTCGTCTACCTCCAGAGGACTCCCGCGAGCACCTGTGTGCACCCCTCAGGCGCAGACATGCGTGCGTACGAATTTACCTTACACCTCCCCGCAATTCTCTGGCTAACAGGGAAGATGTCAGACTCAGAACTGGAGAAATACACAGCCATTAAATAAATGTAAGTTCAATGAGCATCCTACATTTTCAAAGTTCAAGGTTTTCTTAAGAACGTTCTGAAACAGCAGTGTGACTTGGATGCTCAGAAAAGGAGAACTCAAAGGCAATGGGAAAGTATCCGCGCAAATAAAAGGAAGTGCTAAGAAGCTCGCGGTGTGGCTCGGAGCCAGGCCTCCACGCTGCGCTGCCAAGACCTGGAAACCTCAGCCACTAGGCCCGTCTGTGGGGAGAACACAGGCTCCAAAAAAGCCCCCTGGTCTCCATGCAAACTCACATCCAAGAAGAAATCTGCAGTACACGGACACTCTCGCCAAAGGGGCGAAAGAGAGCAGATCAGAGGGAACGACTGCTCTGGGGCTCGTTCACTCCGAGGGGCGGCAGGGAATGAAAGGCTGCGAGCACGGACACGAACAGGGACATCCTGACGGAAAAGCCAGACGCACACATCGGGATGAGCCGGGGAGACGGCCCCTCGTTGGGGGCTCACGGGCGATGTCAAACCATTCAACCCCATCACAGCCGCGCCAGGGGAACAGAAGGCGTACGGGCTCACCTCCTGCCTCCCGCCAGACATCCTGTGGTGGTCAGTCTGGTTGCACTTGGTGGAGAACTCGTCCTTCTTCACAATCTTGAGCATTCGCCACAAAGGAGAGGGGAGCGTGTCAGTCATGGGTGGCACGATCAACCTCTCCCGCACCGACATACCCCACATGTGTACAGAAGCCCAAGATGCCACCGTATCTCGGCCAGCCCAAAGAAGGGACCTCAGAGCCACCCTGCACACGCACTTCCTTCTCAGGGGAAGGTGCATGTGCGTCTTCCCAGGAGGACATCTTACAGCAGGAAAAGGGGCTGTGCTTTCGTCGTGTGTTAGGGAACACACGTGCTGATTGGGGTGGCTGTCTGCCAAACCATTATCAGAGAGCAGCGTGTCTTACTCCAAGTTTATATTCTTGCAAAGAAGAAACCAGGGAGCAGTGAGGAATCACGACAAAAACAACGAGTTCCAACTGAACGCAGAATCCCTGGGGGGTCCCAGCGAGAGAGTCTCTGAAGGGCACATGACTAACGCACCCCGGAGTGGGGCTGAGCCCCCGCTTCCTCCCGTGCTCACTGCTTGGGGTGGACACAGGTCTGCAGCTGGAACACCACAGCCACTCAGCCAGCACCCCACCCCGGCGGCCACTGGGACCGGGGCGGACAAAGGAGCCCTAGCCCCTTGCCTGCACACAGCTGCCACACCTCAGGGAGCCCCGAGCGCTCACCTGAATGTGGCCGTTGTGGGGCCCTCTGTGGCCATACATGCACTCCACCGTGGCAGACTTTCTCTCCATCAGGTGGACTCTGAACAGGGGCTTGAATCGCATTGGGTCGTCCACATGAGGGTCATGGGGAGGCAGGTACATCCAGCCAATGATGAACAAGCCATCCACCTGCAGGGAGGAGAAAGGGCACAAGTCCACGCAAGGCTCAGGATGAGGTGCCGAGGGAGAAGGTCCCCAACCTACCCTGTCCGCAAGAACCACCCTCGTCCTCACACAGCAGCCCCGCTGACTCTCGGGGCCAGGGAACATCGCGGCGCCCCCATCTAGCGTACCACAACGAGCATGGCCCATCTACCAAGTGCTTGTTAATTAGAAGTAGTTATTGATTGTAAGCAGGGTGACTGTCGTTGGTGACACTGCATCAACACTGAGATCTTTTTTTTTTTAAGATTTTATTTATTTATTTGACAGAAAGAGACAGCGAGAGAGGGAACACAAGCAGGGGGAGTGGGAGAGGGAGAAGCAGGCTTCCCGAGGAGCAGGGAGCCTGATGTGGGGCTCGATCCCAGGACCCTGGGATCATGACCTGAGCTGAAGGCAGATGCTTTTTTTTTTAAGATTTTATTTATTTACTTGAGATAGAGAAACAGAGAGCGAGAGAGGGAGGCAGAAGCAGGCTCCTCTCTGAGCAGGGAGCCTGATGCGGGGCTCGATCCCAGGACCCTGGGACCATGACCTGAGCCGAAGGCAGACGCTCAACGACTGAGCCACTCAGGCGCCCCAACACTGAGATCTTCTAAGAGAACAGAACTTAAATGTTTTCACCAAAAGAGAGAGAATAAAAATGTGAAGTGGTGGACATGCTAATGCTAGACGGCAGGAACCCTTGCACAAAGTGTACAAATACCAATCACCGAGACGTACTTGTCATGCACCTTACAATCTTACCTGTGCACTATTCCTCAATAAACCTGGAAATAAAGGGATACATGCCTGCAGCATTATTTACAATAGCCAAGATATGGAAACAGCCCCAAGTGCCCATCGACAGGTGGATGGATAAAGAAGATGTGGTGTGTATGTACCATGAACTACTACTCAGCCATCAGAAAGGATGAGATCATGCCATTTGCAACGACATAGATGGAGCTAGAGAGTATTATGCTAAGTAGAATAAGTCAAAGACAAATACATAGGATTTCACTCAGACATGGAATTTAAGAAACAAAACAAACAAAAGCAGCAGAAACAGAAGGATAAATACAGAGAACAAAGAGATGGCTGCCAGGGTGAGGGGTATGGGCCATATGGGCGAAGGGGAGGGGGAGGGACAGGCTCCCAGGTGCGCGATGACTAGGTCACAGGAATAAGTCAGATGCGTTTGTGAGCACAGCGTCACAGACTGTCACCCAGCTGAAACTCACGTAGTTACCGTGTGTCAGCTACACTTCAGTAAAAATAAATTCTGACAGAAAAAATAAGTAGATTTTGTTTAAAAAGAGGAAGAAAAAAAAAGGTAGTTCAACCTAAACCTAAAAGCAAGCCTTTTGGAGAGAAGGGCCAGCTCTGAAGTGGAGGGAAAGACCAGATGACGCTAGAAAGAAGCAGGAGGCCCCCAGTCGGCCCCTGACCCACCAGAAACGGGGGGCTGCTTCCGGCAGCAGAGACCTGCGAGGCACACAGACGCCACGTGAGGGCTGCTGGAGACTCCCGTTAATTCCAAGCAAGCCTCGTGCAAAGCAGCTCTGCAGCCCTCAGGGAGACGGATGTGGACCAGGCCTCAGGCCACATGGTGCGTCCCCACCACGTCTGTAAGGCGGGGGAAGGACAAGGCCCACGTGCAGAGAAACACCCACATTCTTCAAAGATCCATATGGAAGTATTAACAGAGGAAACGGCACGGGCCTGGGATCTGCTTTAAATGCCTGAAAATCAGAAGCAAAGAGAGGAGGCAGGTGCCGTGGGCTTGCCGCCCTTGACAACGGAGGGCGACCACTCTGCCATCACTCTTCCAGTTCACGCAACGTGGCAGCGGACGGGTCGGAGTGACAAGGTGCCCGCGGCGGAGACGGGGTCAGAGCGACCAGGTGGCAGAGACGGAGTCGGAGTGACGAGGCGGCTGCGGCGGAGATGGGGTCAGAGCGACCAGGTGGCAGAGACGGGGCTGGAGCGACGAGGTGGCCACGGCGGAGACGGGGTCAGAGCGACGTGCTGGCCGCGGCGGAGATGGGATCAGAGCAGGGAGTGGTCCCCAGGCACAGCACGCCGCACGTTCCCTGAGGCCAGAGGGCCAGCCCGTAGTCAGGGGAGCCTGGGTGCCCAGTGGCCGGCTCTGGCTCACACATTTCTGTGGCGATCCAATCCAATCCGACCCGATCCGACGAGGGCGAGCTGGCCCTGTTCTGTCATGGCTCCATTTTCCCCTAGTTATCCCCTGCTTTCAGAAGCTGCAATTTTTTTTTTTTTAACTCTATTAGTCACTGCCAGTAAGAAAAACAATTATCACCCTCCCTGCCTAAAGCATGGAAGGCAGCCTGCCCACACGGGGAGCAGTCTGGCTTGTCCTGTGAGGAACATTCTAAATCCAAGGCTTTCCCCAGTGATGTTAAACATAAACATAAAGTATGTTTCTTAACGGATGTTTCCAAAGAATCATAAAGAACATGAAGCAATATTTATCCCTGTCCAAAACCCCACCTGGTGAGCAAAATACAGAGTAAAAGAGCACCCAGAGTCCCCGGGGGGCCCATGCGGGGCAAGCTCAGAAGGGCCCACACCAAGGCCCCGATGTGCCGTTTGAGAGACGTGCTGACGGCTGGTCCCGTGAGCTAGGGATTCCGGTCCTCCGAGGGTGTGTGCAACCAGGGGGGAAGCAAGATCAGAAAACCAGCGCTCCCCAAAGGGCACCAGACTTCATTCCCAGTGAAGCATCAGCAGCAGCGACATGGGGGCCAGGCACCGAGACGCCCCCCAGCCCTGGGGCTTCTGTGAAGAGAGCACACAGCAAGCTCGAGGAGGACGGCCACACTACAGAGCCCCAGTCAAGTGCCACATCCTACGATACAGATGCCCGTAAAGCACTAAAAATGAGCAGCTACCTTTCAAAACATGATAGGCAAGGGACTGAACAGCATCTAAAAATGAGACCGCAAGACTTTTCTCCTGCCTAGAACCCAGGGGCTTACGCCAACCAGCCCCGCCTGCTGACACCAGCTGTCTGCACACCCCACAGTTTAAATGCTGCCTGAAGACGTCAGGGAACATGCACAGTGGCCCCAAGATGAGAACCGAGAGCCTAAAAACAAGGGATAGGCTTGAGGTGAGCCGAAGGGGGCAGGGCTTCCCACCCCTTTGCCCCAGGTCCCTGACCGCTGGTGGCTGGGCAGAGGGGCGGCAGGGTGCTGGAACCCCCAGGGCTGCCGCAGAGGCCAGCGTGCTAGGGCAGGATCCCAAAGAAGCAGGCCCTACTGTGTGTGCAGCTCTGCCCTTGAGGCACCTTCTGGATCCCAACCCGTGGGGGGCGGGAGACGGAGAAGCCAAGCAGAAGGTGGCTGCTAAGAGGCCAACCAGCCAGGAGAGGGATCAGCGGTATCCCTGACCCGCTAGGGGAAATGCAGGTCCTGGAGAGCAGGAGGTGCCCGGAGGGGACACTCTGTGGACGGGGCCACCCGGGACGAGATCGGCCCTCACCACACCTGGTCAGGGCAAGGCGCTCTGCTGGCTGTGACCCCAGGCCAGAGGCCAGGCACCTTCGTGGGGGCAGCAGCATCCACGGCCACGTGTGCGGGCATGCCAGCAGCCCACTGCCACGCCCAAAAATCCCGAGGAAAAAGAGAGACTGTAAGCTGAACCAGAGATCACAGACTTTAAAGGAACTCTGACTAATATATTTAAGAAGACACAATAAGAAGGAAAACAAAGGTCACCAAAAAAAAAAAAAAAAAAATGAGGCCAGACTTACATCTTGGCCATAGTGGAGTAACGGGACTGCTGTGAGCCCCAAGGTGACCCCAGACAACAGGCCACACAGGGCTGTGATCCCAGAGAAGAGAAATAAGAGGTCACCCCTGCCATCCCCTGGATTCCTGCCAGAGGCACCTTCCAGACCCCGGGGCTCAGAGGGGGCCAGGCAGAACCGGGCAATGTTCTAACTTGAGCGAACAGAGATCAGAGTTCAAGGAGGCTGCCGGGGCTGGAGTAGAAAGAGGGGAGCCGGGCGGAGACAGAGCCCAAGGATCTGCCAAGGGTCCTGGGCTCCAACCACTCACCGAGCCCAGTACAGGCTGGGCAGCGTGCTGCACCATCCATCTCCAAGCAGCCGGGGACGGGAGTCCTCAGGGAACCCCCAGGGCATGGAGGGAGAACCCCCAGCACTGGGACCTTAGACACAGAGCTACAGCACATCCCTAAGAGACCCAGTGGCCTTCAACGAACACCCTGTCCACCTGACCAGCCCGACCCCATTTGAGGGAAGGGACTCATCCATCTCGTCACTCCTTAACAACAATGTCCACCATCACAGGGAAAAGAGCAGGCGTGCAGGGGACAGGAAAACGGCAGACAGCCAGAGTCAGGAAGACAAGGATGCTGAAACTAGAAATACTGTGGTCTCAGCAGCAGCCTGGCCAGGAATGCCCCTCATGGGACCTCAGTCAGGCTGATGGCAGGACAGAGCGCCCACCTCCAAGGCAGCCCCCACTCCAGCCGGGCAGGCTGTCCCCTCTGGTCCTCTTCTGCCAGCCCTGGCCCCCATGTTCCCCACACTGGTGACAGTTACCAGGACCACAGCTCTCAGTTCATCAGCCCTCCGGCCTTCGGTGAGCCTCACACTCGGAAGGCGGAGGGCAGTGCTTCTGGGGCCTGGCCCTTGCGGTCTGTGTGATGAGGTGCCCATGATTAGATTCGGGTCAGGTATTTTGGGCAGGAGATCCAGAGAAGCGGGGCTGTGCGCTTCACATGAAACCAGGAGGGGCCTGAGGTCAGAGTCCTACTGCTGGTTAGTTAACATCGATCACTGGGATGGGCGCTGTTGGCCACATCTCTCCCCAGTAAGGCCCCTCTTCCACCCTGTAATCTTGATCGCTAAATAACGGCCCCCAAAGAAGTCCACATCCTAATCCCTGGAACCTGTGCACATCATCACCTTACACAGCAAAAAAAAGGATTTTACAGATGTGAAGTTGAAGATCTTCAGAGGATTCTGGCTCATCCAGGCAGGCCCTAAACACCATCACTTGTACCCCTCTAAGAGGGAGGGAGACAAAGGTCTGAGACACACAGAAGGGGAGAGGCCACACTAAGGATGGAGGCAGAGGTAGGAGGGGTGCGGCCACAGCCAAGGGCTGCCTGGGCCCTGCAGCTGGAAGAGGCAGAAGGACCCTTCTCTGGAGTCTTCAGAGGAAGCGTGGTGACTCTTGATCTCAGCCCAGGAGCACGTTCTGAGGACGTCAGGCACACTGGGGACGTCGGGCACACTGAGGACATCAGGAATACTGACTGAGGACGTCAGGAATACTAAGGATGTCGGGAACACTGACGGAGGACATCAGGAATATGGACTGAGGAGGTCGGGAACACTGACGGAGGACATCGGGCACGCTGACTGAGGTGTCAGGAATACTGACTGAGGACGCCGGGCACAATGAGGACATCAGGCATACTGACTGAGGACATCAGGAATACTAAGGATGTCGGGAACACTGACTGAGGACGCCGGGCACAATGAGGACATCAGGAATACTGAGGATGTCGGGCACACTGAAGATGTCAGGCTTCCATAAGAGTGAAAGAATACATTTCTGTTGTTTTATGCCACCCGGTTTGTGGTCACTGGTATGGCGGCCCCTGGAAGCTACAACAGTAAGTGATAAGGGATCTGTGGGGAGATGCTCTCTGATGGTGGAAATACGGTCTCCCCAAAAAGTGCCCACCGTTGGTGCTCCCACCCATCAAGGACACTGGCCTGACCCCAGTATTACTATGGTGGGTGAGAAAAGATTTAAAACCGGGGCCTCACAGCCCCACTTTCAGACTTGGCTCTGAGGCCCAGTCTGGTCCCAAGGCCGCCGGGGCTGCTGGGTGAGTCACTCTGACACGGCTCCCCGGCGTGCCTCCCAGGCCGCTGAACTGTGTCTTCCTCGCAGGGCAAGCGCTCACACACATCAGTGGAATGACAGAAGGCACACAGGCAGAGTCACAACCGGGGTGCGCCTAGGGCTCAGCGATGGGGCACCTGCTACGATTCCACGTGACCCTGAGGGCCGGAGGGTGAGTGTCCACGGTTCCCAGGGCTCCTCATTTAGAACAAACTAGTGCACAACCCAAAACTAGAGTGTCCCAGAGGCGTGAGCACAAGGGCCCAAGGTGTCCAGGAGGCAGGGACCAGGCTATGGGAGGGAAGATGCCCTCGAGGCAACCAGTGGCTCATCACTACAAAGTCCAGGGACGCAGCGAGAAGGCTGAGAACCAGTTACCGAATAGCCTCTGGCCCCTAATGACAGCCATGCCGTCACACAGGCGACAGCGGGCTTGCCCCTCTGGCTGGAGCGGGCGAAGGCCCACGCACAGCGCTCTTGGACTTACCACCACGTTCAGCAGTCCTCCGTAGGGCCCGATGTCCGGCTGCCACAGCCCCAGAATGTGTCTGTACCGATGAAGCACTAGGGGAGAGAGAGAGAGAGCGGGTCTTCACACTGCAGCCGGCCGGTCTGCGCTCCGCAGGGACACAGGGGAAGGGCGAGACCGGAGCCGGGAACTGCGGACAAACCACTCATGGCGGCTGGGGACAGAGCCTTGGATATAAACACGGATCTCAGCAGACTGCTTAAGGAGTTTCTAAAGAATTCTAAGAAGGAAAATGTCTTTCAAAACCGTAATAAAACAGACAACAGGGCCACTTTGAAACCCAGGCTCTAAGTGGCCAGTGCCGATGACACTGCCTTGAAAGACAGAGTGAGCACCCTTGTGAAGTGGTGAGCCTCCCATCAGTGAGGGAGTCAGAGACAGGGACACCGCCTTCCTAGGGACTAAGGCAGATGGTGACCAGATTTTCATCACGTTGGGACACTGGCATCTATACATGCAGTCTGTCTATAAAGCAGTTCGACTAAAACTCATCACTAGAGTGAACTGCTCACTCTGCTGGGCACACAGGCCCAACAGCCCTGTCCCGGCAACAGGGGCCACCGTGACCCACGACGACACATCTGGTCCCACGCTCTTCTGGGTGTACTGTCAGGGTGTTTCCAGATAAGATTAGCATTTAAATTAGTGCACTGAGTAAAGCTGACGGCCCTCCCTGGTGTGGTGGGCCTTGTCCAATCAGTTGACAGCCTGGAAAGAAAAGGCTTTTCCACAAGCAGGGAACGCCTGCCTGGGCGAGCTGGGACATCAGTCTTTTCTAACTTAGGACTTGAAATGGGAGCAGGGGTTCTTCCACGGTGCCGAGCCTGCCAGATTTCAGACCCCAGCTACACCCTCAGCTCCCCTGGGTCTCCAGCTTATTGATGGCAGATCTTGGGACTTTTCAGCCTATATTAACCGTGGGACCCAATACCTTATGATAAATTCATCTAAAGAAACTGGTTCTATTTGTCTGGCGAACCCTGGCGCACACACAGTGGAAGCCAGGGATGGGCTGGACCATCAGCGCTGTATGGTGACACCATTCCGCGGGAGGGGAGCCCCAGCCAGCACGGCCAAGTGGGACCCAGAGACAAAGATGGGACGGCGGCTACCAGGTCTCCATTTGGTCCGGAGTAGAGGGACGAGGAAAGGGAGGCCAAAAGCAGCCCAGGCCTCTCAGGTGCGCCGGCAACCACTGATACCCGAGGAACCTACGGTACACAGCCGAGGAACACGGGTTTCTAACGAGCATGTACTGTCTCCCAGACACCTGCCATTCATCCCGTGTGCAATCTTCTGAGTTGGTTTACAAGATGCAAAGTGAATTCAGTCTGGTTATCGTATGGTCATACCCTGATAGGTTTTGCATTTAATTAGCAAGCAATAATAAGCAGGACCAGGAACTCTAAGGAAATAATGAACTCCAAACAGTGACATGTATACTCAAGGGTTTAGGGGTAAAATGTGATAGTATCTGGCACTTACTTTAAAATGTATCAAAAAATAAGGTGGAATGATGGAGAGATGGCGGATGAACAGCTGTGTGATAATAAAGTGCGGCTGAGGGTTGTAGGATCTGGTGATGGTAAGTGGGTGTTTGCTCCATAATCCCTTTTTTTTTTTCTGGTAGATTTTTAAATTTTCATGCTAAAATACTGGAGAATAAAATAAATGCGCCCATTTATTTTATGGGCCCTGACCATCCCCTCTTACTCCCTCTCCCCCCTCGCCCCCAGCTTGACTGCTAGTGATGGTCTGGTTCTTTCCAAATCAGTCTTACGATCTCAGACCCCCTGGACTGCTCAAAGAACATGCGAGACTCTTGGAAATTTTGAAAGGAGAGTTCCCCTGTTTTGCTTTAAAAGGTACAGCCCTTTGAAATAAAAACACTGCCTCCCATCTGTCTGCTTGGAGGGGCAGCACTCTCTGGATGTATAAGCTCTGCAAGTGTTAGAAAAATCATTGTGCCCCTCATGGCTTTTGCTAACACAACACTGACTCGCTGAGCCTGGGACCACCCTCATAACAGTCCAAGAAAGAGTCGGAGACCAGCATTGCCCGCCGACCTGCAAGCAGGTAACCCCTGGCTAACCCCTGGGCGGGACAAGCCATTTCCTCATGCAAATGTAAGGGCTGTGTTTTAGGACACTTTAAAAACTACAAGCTTCCAGAACAGAGTCCGGCATGAGCCCAGGGTGCCTCCAGACTGAAAGTGCCCACCTGAGTCACACAAACACTGGGTGTCCACACCAGGAGCGGGGCCATGTTCGGAGTTACCTTCTAATGCCCGGGGCCCTGCTGGGAAGGCCAGCCCCTGAACAATACAAGGAGTGTGCACATGTTCACGCATTTTCCCTCATGCTCCCACTGCACCTTCTGCCTGACCCTGCAAGGGTAGAGGAAGGGCCTGGCTGAGACATCCTGGAGCAAGGCGCTCCCCAGACCCAAAGGGGCTTCTCACCTGCAGAAGACCCCCAGCTCACAGAGCCCTCCTCACAATGTTTCCAAACAGCCGCTGACCACGGGTCAGGAGAGAACAGGATCAGGTTACAGACTGGGCAGGGGACCTGAGACGTGGAGGCAACTGTGTTAGACCCCTCAGGTGCTTTACTGTCATGGGCTTTAGGACTCTGCAGAACTTCAGTTCAGGGGCAGAGAGAGCCTCAACAAGAGGGAATTCCGTTATCCATGACAATCGAGAAAACACCACTGCTTCAGCCACACAAGGGCAGGACGCAGACCTTTCAGAATAATTCGTATTTATTCCAAACAAGGCAGCTCACAGGCTGCTCCCACCACTGGTCCCCAAGGTCAGTGTGGCCGTATTCAGAAAAAATTCCCAGCTCAAGACACCCCTGTTCCCCAAAATGGGGGAAATCATCTGAGCTGGCTAAGCGACCTCTCAGCTCAAGTGCTAGTGGGAAAACGCCCCATCCTAGTCAGTGCCAGTGAATTCTCATCGCCAATAGGAAGGCCACTTAAGAAGGCAAGCAGGAAACTCCTGGCACATGAAACAACAAACAGCAAACCCAAAAGATCCGACTGTCCTCGGCGCAGCGTGGGCTGGGAGGGGGCTCTCTTCCCCAGCGGTCCGCGGGCAGCCGCTGTGGCCCTCACGCAGGACAGCCAGCCCTCCACCAGCACGGCCCTCAGTCGTTCCTGAATCACCACATCTGAGGCTGCAGAGCCGGGGTTTCGGGTGATGGGTGTTCCCACCCGTGACTCTTGTCCAAAAGATTATCGTAAAGGCAACTAATGTATCTCCTGCCACTAGCTAGTAGCTTCTGGTAAATGAAAACAAAATCAGAGGAGGAGACATGTCCAAACTCATTTCACCAGGCCAGAATGACCCCACTACCAAAACAAGGAGGCCACAAGGACAGAGAACTACAGGCCAGTATCCCTGATGATGGGGCGCCTGGGTGGCTCAGTCGGTTTAGCGGCTGCCTTCGGCTCAGGTCGTGACCCCGGAGTCCTGGGATCGAGCCCCGCGTCGGGCTCCCTGCTCGGTGGAGAGCCTGCTTCTCCCTCTCCCTCTGCCTGCCACTCTGCCTACTTGTGCTCTCTCTCCCTCTCTGTCAAATAAATAAAAATCTTTAAAAAAAAAAAAAAAAATCCCTGATGAACGCAGATACAAAAATCCTCAACAAAATACAAGCAGATCCCACTCAACAGTACATTAAAAGGATCACTGACCACAATCAAATGGGATTTATCCCAGGGATAAATGGTTCAACGTCCACAAATCAATGTAGTAACAGCACCTTAACAAAATGAAGGATAAAAATCATATGTCCTAGGGATGCCTGAGTGGCTCAGTCGGTTAAAAGTGTCTGCCTTTGGCTCGGGTCATGGTCCTGGGGTCCTGGGATAGAGTCCCGCATCAGGCTCTCTGCTCAGTGGGGAGCCTGCATCTCCCTCTGCCTGTTGCACTCTCTCTCTCTCTCTCTCTGACAAATGGATAAATGAAATCTTTAAAAAAAAAAAAAAAAATCATATGTCCTCAATAGATGCAGAAAGAGCATTTGATACAATTCAGTATCTACTTATAATAAAAAACTCTCAACAAATGTCTAGAAGAACATTCCGCAACATAATAAAGGCCGTATATGAGAAAGCCCCGCTAACACCATACTCAACGGGGAAAAGCTAAGAGCTTTCCCTCTAAGGTCAGAACAAGGCAGGATGCCCACCTTGCGTCAAGTTGCAGGATACAGAATCAACATCCAGAACAGGACCAGGAACACCATCCCACAGGCTCCAAGAATTCGGCCAGGTAATTGGCAGGTGGGCTCCCTCGCCCAGATGCACTTCCCACCAGTGCCCTCTGCCCTCTCTAGGAGCACCCGCCTGTTTCTAGACTTCCCAGTGGTCTCCCCTTCCTCAGGACGCCTTGTGTGTTCTTGGCCCCACCTGGCAGATGGACTCTGGAGGAGCCTTCCCATTAGACTCTACCTGTGCAGCCAAATACCCTGTCACCTATGCCCCAGCATTCAAAGCGGCCTACCCATCTCCTCACCAGTGGTGCGCAATGTCCCACCCTCCAGCACTCCACCCAACTCCCTGTATCCACCAGAACTATCTGGAGCACCACCAGAATTCTAGATGGCAACCTCAAGACAGTTACTATCAATTCACACACAAGGACACGTAATAGCTACGTCATTAACACAACACATTCCCCCGAGATGCTCCCCACGCTTTAGAGACACGGACTACTAAGAGTATCAGGCAACAACATGCAGCCTGATAAGAAAAAAAAGGGGCGGGACGCCTGGCTGGCTCAGTTGGTTAAGCAGCTGCCTTCGGCCCAGGTCATGATCCCAGGGTCCTGGGATCGAGTCCCACATCAGGCTCCTTGCTCAGCAGGGAACCTGCTTCTCCCTCTCTCTCCGTCTGCTTGTGCTCTCTCTGTCAAATAAATAAAAATCTTTAAAAAAAAAAAAGAAAGAAAAAAAAGGGGCAAAAGTGACCCAGCCAAAGAAGCTCATGTGGGGCCACAAAGCTCCTCAAAGGTTAGCTTTAGATGGGCTGACCTGCCTCTCCCTGGGACAGTGTCTTTGGCTTGAGGCTGCTAAGCCTGAGACCAGAGAGACCAGGGAACCAGGGAACACGGGGTCTCAAGAGCTCCAGGAATAGGGCAAGTGGATAAGGGAGACAGAAACAGTGCCAGGTCCCAAGGTCCTCACACGCCAGTCATCACAGTGGACATTTCTGGAAGGTTGGGCTGGATGAGGCCCCTTTGCTGATTGACTGCTAACCGGGGGGGTGGGTCAATCCAGGACAAAATGTGCTAGAGGTAACTTCCAAGAGTGTTCAGGAAGAACCCAGTTCATGCCTCTGACTCCCCCTGACCCACCCGACCCCCTTGACAGCTCAGCCAGCTCCTCACGCCTGCTTGTTCACACTCCCAACAAGCCCCGCGGTCACCGGTCTCCACTCCAGCAGTTCAGCTCTGGGCCTGATGACATGAACAAGGTGGGCATTGTCAGGAGCCGTGCCCAGACCTTGCACACACCCAGAAGCAGGCTAACTTAGTCCACGCATCTCTGCACTGACGCCAGGATGGTCTCCATGGGACCAGCACACTTCGGCTGCATGTCCACAGTCTGACAGGGGTTAGGAACGATCCCGTAAGCGCCTCTATTTCCTCTGCTCCCATAGGTTTTGTTAGAAATTGTGCATCTACGAGACTTAGGAGCACGTCTGCTCCAGGCAGGCGCCACAGACACATGGAGGGTTCAGAGGGGTGGGAGTAACGAGGGAGTGGTGCTGTGTGCTTCTAGGAACGTAAAAACGCCTTTTAGTGCAAGCAGGTATGTGTGATGTCTTCTGGACAACATTCACTTTCCACCTCAGCTCAACCGAACAGAGAGCGGAGATGTGTGCAATACGCCTCAGGGAAATTTCTAGACACAAGTAATGCCAATCGGGAGGGGAATCCGGTTCTAAATAATCCAGTGCTTCTACTCACTTCTGCCCAGTGTGGGTCCACTGTATGATTTTTTTTTAATTCACATATGCTGTAATGATGTGACTAATGAAATCTAGAAACAAAACACATTTAATTTTGGAGCAGAAGTGTTTTAAGGCTTCTACCCTGTCCTCTCCCCTCAGCCTCAATAAACAGCAAATATTAAAATGTGTACCAACAGGGGCGCCTGGGTGGCTCAGTCGTTAAGCGTCTGCCTTCAGCTCAGGTCATGGTCCCAGGGTCCTGGGATCGAGCCCCACATCGGGCTCCCTGCTCCGCGGGAGGCCTGCTTCTCCCTCTGGCACTCCCCCTGCTTGTGTTCCCTCTCTGTCTTTCTCTCTATCAAATAAATAAAATCTTTAACAGAAAAAAAAAAAATGTGGCCTTGTTGGTACTACCCAAAAACCCCAAAGCTGCTGAGGAATCCCGGCCCACGTGTGCAGCCGACCCAGGGCCACGGCTCAGGTGTGGCCTCGGCTGTGGCCGAGCCCAGAAAACAGCCAAGGTAAGAAACAGCAAAAGCCAAGGAGGGCAGCTCTCTCTTAACACCCAAGCAGTCCTCGTGCCCGGAGTTAGAGGTCCCTCTCCATGCAGCTTCTCAGCCGTGCTCGCCCGCAAATGCCAAAGCCAGCAGGAGGTACGTACGGCAGGTGTAAACATCTCTGTACTCCATGTGCTCGTAATCGGGAAGAATTTTCATGAAACGTCCCGACTTCACACGAGGGTTTATACCTGAACAGACACAGCAGGGAAAGGATAAAGATGGCTCTGCTTCCAGGACAGTATGAATAGTTCCCAGGACTCAACACCCTCCCTCCCTGACAACGGACACTTCCCATTACACACTCAGCCCCCAGAAAACTCAGGGTGCAAGCGTTTGCCAGGGGTGACGGGTCTTCCTTTAACCAGTGGAGCCACACCAGAAACTCATGAAGGCAGGCAATCTCGGGACCCTCCTCTCTCGGTGGCCACAGATTAAAGGAGCACACGGAGGTGGGAGAGCCGAGGCTGTGGTTGGGGGATATCTGGGGGACCATTTAGAGAACCCCTATGCCCGAGTCTGATCTCTCCCTTGCCTGGTGCACACCTGGCGTTCTCCTCGATCTCTACTGCATGTGTGTTTTGTTTCTGATTAAGGGCGATGTTGGCCTACCTCCTAACTCAGGCCTCCTCCCTCCTGAACCTGTCTATGCCAGGAACCAAACTTGATTTTCCTCCACAACCCATTCCAGAAGCTAAGTAATTTTCTCCTCAATAAGGCCTTCAGAGCAAATTCACAAAAACACCGCTCCTGCATCGTGAACATGAAAACTGAAGCTGGCTCTACCTGGGGCAGATGCAACACTTCTGGACACTGAATAAGGTAATCATTCCCCCGATTTTGCAACCATTTTTAAGGGGTCAAGATTCAGCGGTGAAAAGAAATCTCCAGATGTCCTCCTGCGCCTGCCCATGTCCCCAGCATTCCAGACTCGCAGATAAGCCTGTCCCTTCTCCCTCTCCCACCCCCAGCTTACCCCCGGCCACACCATCTGCTGCTCACAGTTACTGCCCACCTGCCTGCCCACCTGTGCTCCACAGGACAGCATAACTGAGCTGAGCTCCGTGGGGGCCTTATTCCCACATCTGCCCCCACACCTGGCAGGTGTCAGCACCTGCCTTCCTCCAGGTGCTGTTTGGAATGCTTACTCCTAAACTCCTAAAGAACTCTGCCTTCAAGTGGCGTTCAGGTGATATTGTCCAACGACCTAACAAATTCAAGGAGTCCGTTGATAAAAACTTGATAGCAGATACTCCTAGAAACCAGCTGACCGTCCAGAAAAGCCAGAACACCTATGTTTTACGTGCACATACACGGAGATTGTTGTGGACGGAACACCAATGCTGAGAGCCAGCCTAAGTCCCTCCAATTCCAAGCTCTGGTTGGACTTAAGATACTGAGCTCTGGGCAAGCACGGAGGAACCAAGGGTGGAGCCAGGGCCATGTGGGCACCCACAGAATGGAGGGTGGGAGGCAGGCGGCAGGACTGGCGTTCTACTTCTGGAATCTGGGCTTTGCAGGGTTCAGAGCAGCACTGCTCTGGCTGCGGAGAGGAGAAGACAGGAAGGGATCAGGCTTTCTGGACATGTGGCTACCAGGGCCCCCTAGACCCACGTCCCCTGGGATGGTGGAAGGTGGAGCGGAGCCAAGAGAAGAAAGCAAGTCCAAGCACGCACAGGGAAAAAGGACCTGGTAGGTCCTGAGCAGCCAGCCTTGCACTGGGGTCCCAAAGACAGGGCTCAGGAGGCAACTGCCGAGCTGGGCATGGTGGCTGGGGCAAGGATGAAGCCCAAAGCCTCAGGAGGGAAAAGCGGGGAGCTGGGCATGGTAGGGCAGAGGGCTCCCAGAGGCAGGTGGTACGTCAGAGGGCATGGCTGAGCCCCCATGAGCTGTGCTAGTTGTGAGCAGACTGGCTCCCCAGAGGAAGGTCCGTGAGGAACCTCCAGCCTGCTGACAGGAGAGCTCCCCAATGTGAGCGAATCCTAACTCGGAACACCAACCACCGCACAATCCCAAGCTGCCATGGATCTCGGGTGTGGGGAGAAGCCTCTGACAGAGCAAGGAACCGACAGGATGGCAAAATCAGCCGCCTCCAAGGAGGGAGCACTGCCCATGTCTCCCCAAGAGTCGGCCCTACATGGAAACCCCATGCTCCCCTGCGGCCATGTGAAGGAGGGGCATCTCAGAGGGAGAACCCGAGTGACAGACCCACTAAGAAGAGGGATGCGGAGAGAGGCAGCGGCCGGCGTGCCCCATACCCTGGAGGGGCTGCCAGGGCTTCGGCTGGCTCTCAGAGACCCGCTTCTGTCTCAGTCCTGAGTCCCATGCAGACCACGGCCACCGCTCCCGGGTGAGGCATTTAGGAAGGAGCACCACCTGCTCTGCTTTCAATGGAGAACATTTCAAAAGAATGTGAAAACCAAAATCTACCAAGATGGTTTTAAGGTGAAACCTTAATGTCTTTTTATTTTTTTTAAGATTTTATTTGTTTGTTTATTTATTCATTTATTTAGAGAGAGCAAGCATTAGCAAAGGCAGAAGCAGACTCCCCGCTGAGCAGGGAGCCCGATGCGGGGCTCGATCCCAGGACCCTGAGATCATGACCTGAGCCAAAGGCAGACACTTAACCAACTGAGCCATCCAAGCGTCCACTTAAGGTTCTTTTAAGAGCAGTGAACAGTCAACTTCAGGCCAGAGAGAACTGGTCACCGTTGTCTCTTACTCTGTTCTTTGATCCCCAGCCCTGGGGCGCTAATACTGAACAAGGCGGGCACCCAGGGGTGAACCCACAGGCTGCTTCCTGCAGGTCGGTGCTGGCCTGCAGCTCCTGGCTGGTGTCAGTGTGAACAGAGATCCTCACGGCCTCACGCTAAGGGGCACCGAGGAAAGACATCTGGGGCTGGGGGGACTCAGAGCACTCAGACAGGGCGTGTCACTGGTGACTCTGGAAAGCAAAGGAGGGGAGAACAGGAAATGGGGGCTGGGGGGCTCAACATGGGGACGCGAGGCTCCGGGGTAGACGGAGCCCCAGAACGGGGAGCCTGATGTGGGGCTGCAGGCAGGTGGCCGAGGAAGCCCGGGGAGTGGCCACACTTCCCAGTGAAGCTGCTGTCCACATGACCCTCGGGCTGTGGGCCCAGATCCAGGGAAGGGGACACCTCTGGAAGCACCCCAGGGTTGTTCCCAACACAGCCACGTTTCTCAGATCTAAGGGTTCTCCACGCCTAATAGAAGACACCATTATCTGTGATGGGCTGAAAAATAAGGCTGACACCCCCAAAGATGAAGAAAAGACCCCCCAGGTCAGGGCTGCCGCTCCCAGCGCCGTCCGTGGAGCACCAGCTACGTACGACTCTCAGAGAGTGTCCGGGAGGGGACTGTGGGCTGTGGGTCACACTCTCCGCACTCCTATCAAGGGTGCTCACTCTGCATCTGCATCTGGAACGAAGGGGACCGTGGCCGGCAACAGGTTCACTTACGCTTGGCATAGACGTCTCTACAAGACACGCCCGTGATGTCCAGCTTCCGCAGGTTCTCGCAAACGCCATACTCTGCAACAAGAAACATTTGCTGGAGATCACAGTCAAGAAGTCACAAGGCTGCAGAAACAGACAGACTGAGCGCAGGGAGGGAAGGTGCACGCCGAAGCCTTGGCCCTGTCTTCCAAGGTGGAGTCCGACCCTCGCTGTTCCACACTTGGTCGGCACCCACACTCACTGATGAAGCCATTTTTCTGCTTAGACCACACTTGACAAAGCAACAATCCGCGCTGTCTATCCTGATAAACTCTAGAAGCCTAATTGCACAAACCCCAAATTAGACAATCCCCAGTGGCCTGGAAACAGCTCGTTCCCATGGAAATGAGATCGTCCTTGGTGTCAGGGTCACACGAAGGCCCGCTGAACCCACACTGTGGCTCACCATACCACCGGTTCTATTAAACAAAGCCACGGCCCATGAGGGGAGACCCCGGTGAGAGCCTGGACGAGGGCCTGGAAGGAGGAGCTGTGCCACATGCCTTGGGCACCAGGCCCCCAGACCCCAGCCAGCGATGGAGATCCTGGATGCCCTCCCTGCCTCCCCGTCCCCGTCCTCGCCTGGCTGACGGCACCCTCGTGCTTCCTCCTCCCACGTTTCCAAGTCACCCACCCCAGCCTCCCAGCTGAAACCTTGGGTCCTTCAGGTCAGGTCCCGGCAAGGCTGTGCAAGGAAAGCACCGTAGGGAACGAATCCCCACGAATCCAGAACTGCCGGGAGGCAAGAGCCTGCCCTGGTATCCACCTCTGTGCGGGCCAGGCACCACTGTATTCGGCCCTGCTAGCAGGCCTGAGAGAGCTGCTACCGTCTCATCCATTTCGGCGGGGAGAAAACATGCACAGAGAGGCCCGGGGCCTGCACAAAGGAGCACAGCTGGTGGTGCAGGACCCAGAGCCGAAGCCTGGATGGGGCGCCTCATGGTGGTGAGCAGAGCCCGGGCAGGAAGAAGCGTGCTCAGCACCCCTGCTGCCCAAGTCCTCACAGAGCCCCACCAGGACTCTCTGTGTCATCCCGGGTACAGTCATTCAGCTGGGGCATCACGGACAGCCACCTCTGTGGCCAGCACTATGCGCCCATCACAGGAAGGGACGCCAAGGCTGGGCAAGGTTGGCAGCTCAGCAGTCCGTCTGAAACATGGACTCATGCAGTGTGGCCAGCACTGGCCAAGTGCCATCCCCTCATCATGTCACTCCTGATGGGGTCTGGTCTGGTCTGTTCACCAGAATGGATGATATCGGCCCAAACGCTTCTACGAAGGTAGATAGGATTCCAATAGTGCACAAAGCAAAGCTCCAGATGCACAGAGGAGAGAAGGTATTTAGGGCAAGGCAGCTACTCGGCAAATGTCCCTCCCGACAGGGCCTGCCCAGGGGAGCCCCGCTTTTCCCTACCTCCTCTGCTGATGAACAGACATGAAGTCAAAGACTCCTCTAAGATGTAAATCACGGCCTTGCTCACTATCAGGCAAAAAAATAAAAAGCATATGTTTTATCCTGCTGCCAAGAAGAATGTGGACTCCATTCTGGAGGATAATGCAAGTCTTAGGAGCCTATGAGGACAGACAGATGAAATATGCTGTCCATGCATCCAGGGCAGGGACACAGGAACACCCGCATGCAACGGGGTCCCCAGCATCTCAGAGACCACAGCTTGTCCAAACCCCTGCTCTCCCCATGCACCAGCTGAATGGCCCACCCTCACCCTGGTGGGCAGAACACACTGACAACCGGTCTACCACACTCTCAATATAAACGCTAAATAAAACTCTCTTCACCATCTCCTGCTGGCTCCATGATGCCCATGATGGCCAAGTGGCTCCTCCTGAAAACCCGGTCAGCGGTCACTACTTTGGCTCTCCGTACACACACTTTGGCTTTCTCCTGTGCAAACAATGCACTTCAAGATTGTTACCGCGTAACAGGATTGGCGTGTCGGTTTGTTTCCTGGGTGGTTTTGAAAGGACAGCTCCGTTTCTCGGTTCCAGCATGCTACCGGTGCTTACAATAACAGACAAGGATGAGTCTCTTACTGCCCCAGAGACAAAGTGGGGTGACCGCAGGGGGCAGGGGTCTTCTTCTTTGTAATGTGTGTAGTGCTGTGGGCAAGACACTGGGACTCTCGGTGCCAATGGTTAGACTCGAGGCACAGCCCTGAAAATGCATTCAGGTACGCTCCTGTGGCTGATGGCCCCGGAGGTCCACAGCCAGGCCTCTCTGAGGCATTGGTACTGCTGCTTAGGTGTTTCTCCAGGCCCAGGCTGTGAAGGCTGGTGACCTGGCTTATGATTTTTGAATCAGAGTCCAACGCACACTCCAACCTGACAGAAACAATGCTTCTGAATGGCTCCCAGGGTTTTAGCCAGGATGGCCACCTCATCATAAATTTCTGCACATTGGGCGCCTGGATGGCACCGTCGTTAAGCATCTGCCTTCGGCTCAGGTCATGATCCCAGGGTCCTGGGATCGAGCCCCGCATCGGGCTCCCTGCTCAGCGGGGAGGTCTGCTTCTCCCTCTCCCTCTTCCCCTCCCCACTGTTTGTGCTCTCTCTCTCTCTCTCAGTCTTTCTCTCAAATAAATTTCTGCACACTGTGTCAAGAAATGGCATTGCGCATACGGCACAGGATATGAAGTTGCACAAGCAGATAAAGCATCCACAGAAACACTATGAACAATCAGAAGAAAAGCAAAATTAGGATGTAGTGCTAATAAACAGAGCAATCCTTGGTGGGTTTTTCTTAATGTTCCCAAAAGGTCATAATAAATCCACCAAGGCAGAATAATGTTATTCTGACCCAATCATTCCTACAAGAATTGTCTGGTATTTTCCACCTGATGGGAAAATCTTTTTTTTTAAAGAGGGGCTAAGAACAATGCCACATCCTCTGATTGTTCTACAAACGTTCCCATAAGTCATCAAGGGAAACTGCCCTTAAAATAGCTTGAAGGCCTGTATACTCACCAGCACCGTGTATCCTTCCTTCCAGAAAAACCACCCAGTGTGAACGCCACCCTTTGTCACAGGTCCTGTCCCCGCTGACTGCAAGCGAGCACACCACCCACGCCGCCTACAGGTGCTTCTCAATCCAACACTGGATTTGGTGGTACCAGCTGTCGATTCAAAGAATTTCCTTGGTGGGGCGTCCAGCTAGCTCATTCGGTGGAGCATGTGACTCCTGATCTCAGGGTCGTGAGTTCAGGCCCCATGATGGGTGTAGAGATTAAGTAATAAAAACTTAAAAAAAAAAAAAAATTCCTTGCTAATCTTTTATATAAAGGAGCTTAAGCAATCCTTTTTTGAAAGTATTTACTCCAAAGATAGCAAAAACAAAACAAAACAAAAAGCTGGGAAGGGAGAAACATGGGTCAGCCGGACTTGAGGGAATTTATAAAATGAAATGGTCATGCTGTGGAGACCAGAATGGGGACACAGAATCACCCTATGACCCAGCTGTCATTCTACTTATGGGTACAGCCCCCAAAGCACTGAAAGCCGGGGCTCAGATACTTCTACACCCGGGCTCACTACAGCACTCCTCACAACATCCAAGAGATGGAAGCAACCCAAGTGTCCGCGGGCAGATGAGCACATCAACACTACATGGTCCATCCATTCTCTGGAATGCTATCCAGCCTTCAAAAGGAAGTAAACTCTGTCACCTGCTGCAGTATGGATGATCCTTAGGGACATCATGCTCAGGGAAATAAGCCAGTCCCCAAAAAAACAAATACACTGTATGATTGCACTTCCATGACATACCTGGACAGTCAGACTCCCAGAGACAGACAGGATGGTGGCTGCTGGATGGAGGGAGGGCAGCTGGTGTGTAAAGGGACAGAGCTGCAGGTGCGAAAGATGAACAAGGGCTGGAGGCGGCCGGGGGCAGGGGGCGGGGGACGGGGGGGTGTTTGCACAACAATGTGAACGTACTGAACTACTGAACGCCACAGAGCTGTACAATTAAAAATAGTCCAAATGGCAATTTTTGTTGTATGTATATGTTACCATAATAAAAAAATTAAATTGCCACTTCAAATACTCCAATCAGAAAATTTCCAAAAAGCTATTTGAAAAATGTTTTGCCAGGAGGGAAGAACAGCCTAGTACTTTGGCAGAGTCAAGTCAACACCTAAGCGGCAGCCTCCTGTGACCTAACTGCCCGGGGCTGCCAAGCGCTCTACACTCTTTCCTGTCTGACGAGCTCAGGGCTGCGTGATGGACTTTACCAAAAACGTCCTGTCCCCACAGCACATTTCTGAACATGCACTAACTCTGGTCAGTCTCTAGAGTAGGAGGTTAGAGGTTTTCTCTCTCTGCCCCCCCACCGCTGCAGGAGAACCCAGGAGACACAGCTCTGCTTCTCGAGGCCCCTTCCCCGGAGGAGAAGGAGATTCAGGGACATGGTAGCCGTGGCAGTCAGGGCTGAGATGCGCACGCACGTCGGAGCAGAATGTGACAAAGAAAGTGAGCGCCGTTCTTTGGGGCACTGTGTTGGTACCGGGAGGCTGACACAGCGGGGACCTCGTCTCATTCTCCCAGTCAATGCCATGAGGAGGGAGCTCTGCCAGGCTGGACAGGCACGGCACTAAAACACCACCTGCAGAGTCTGGGGGCAGACGAGATCCATCTGGAAAGGGGGGTTCTCTCCCAGCCCTGAAAGCAGCCGGGTGGCGGAGAAGGGAGTCCACAAGAGTCTTAGGTATGGAGAGGCTCCAGCGCAGACTATTAACCTGTGGGCCCGCCAGCAGAGATGTACCAGGAAGTGCAGGTGGCGGGGGGGGAGGGGGGGGTACAGGGAGGCCACTGTACCACTACGTAAGTCAGAGGCAGGAGGAGAGGATACTGTGACCCAGACGTGGTACCAGGCAAGCAGGAGGGAGCGAGAGAAGAAGGGCTGGAGTGGGCACCAGAGGCTTCTTTCCTACCTGCTGTGCACACACACAGTTCTCTAAATAAAACTAAACGGCAGTTTGATCAGAAAAATTGATTTTTGTTTGCACTAAATTAGGGGATAAT